GCGCAAAAGTGAGGCAAATGTTCTGTTTGGACTGACACTGCAGCCCATCACCAAGTTGTTCTCCGTGTCGCGACACAAGACACTGTTTAGGGAGAGAAAAACAATATTTCGTTTAAATCTCCTGTCTAGTTTGTCTTCTTTTCATGACCAATCATCTGGCCACAATTCAATTCAATGCTCCAATTATTTTTTGAGACAGCGTGTAGACGTGGATTATCGTTCCTGTGCAAAAGTGAGTCAAATGTTCTGTTTGGACTGACACTGCAGCCCATCGCCAAGTGTCGCGACACAAGACACTGTTTAGGGAGAGAAAAACAATATTTCGTTTAAATCTTCGGTCTAGTTTGTCTTCTTTTCATGACCAATCATCTGGCCACAATTCAATTCAATGCTCCAATTAATTTTTGAGATAGCGTGTAGACGTGGACTATCATTCCTGTGCAAAAGTGAGGCAAATGTTCTGTTTGGACTGACACTGCAGCCCATCGCCACACAAGACACTGTTTAGGGAGAGAAAAACAATATTTCGTTTAAATCTTCTGTCTAGTTTGTCTTCTTTTCATGACCAATCATCTGGCCACAATTCAATTCAATGCTCCAATTAATTTTTGAGAGAGCGTGTGTACTGTTTTTGTAAAAGTTATTTACGGTGGCGACCATTATTTGTGAAGTGCGCCCTCTTTTGAAAGAATATTGGCTAAGTTTTTTTTTTTTCGCGCTTAATTAACACACAACATTGTTTTGGTTCTATTATTTGTATTATCGGACGAATTCTCTCAAAATTCACAAGAAATGTCTTTGATGTAACGACCAATTACGAGACAAAATTTCAATTTGATACCATCAGTATTTAATTTAGATATCCGGAAAACGAGTGTGTTGTTTTTGTTCCATGAAAGTTTACTCTAATTCGGATTCACTGTATTTGTTTTGCGCTTAACACACTACATTTTGTTTGGTTCTATTATTGTTATTGTTCTACGAATTCTCTCGATATTCAAGAGAAATGTAGAGTATACTACGATCAATCATTGGACAAAATTTCAATTCAATACAAAATGTATTTCTTGAGTTATCGTCCGGAAAACGAGTGTGTTGTTTTTGTAGGCAGGACTTTCTCCGACGGTGGTGACAAAAATTCTCGTGCCGACCACTATTTGTGAAGCGCGCCCTCTTTTGAAAGAATATTGGCTTCAATTCGACTTGTTATTTTTCGAGCTTAACACACTACAATATTTTGGTTCTATTATTTGTATTGTTGAACGAATTCTCTCAAAATTCACAAGAAATGTGTTTGATGTAATGACCAATCACAAGACGAAATTTAAATTCGATACCATGAGTATATTTTTAGTTATAGTGCGGAAAACAAGTGTGTTGTTTTTCTTTCCATGAAAGTTGGCCAATATTTCGGATTCGCTGTATTTTTTGCGCTTAACATACTTCATTTTTTTTGGGGGGGGGGGTACTATAATGGTTATTGTTTGACAAATTCTCTAGATATTCAACAGCAATGTATAATACTCTACGACCAATTATTGGACAAAATATCAATGAACTATCGTTCCTGTGCAAAAGTGAGGCAAATGTTCTGTTTGGACTGACACTGCAGCCCATCGCCAAGTTGGTCTCCGTGTCGCGACACAAGATACTGTTTAGGGAGAGAAAAACAATATTTCGTTAAAATATTCTGTCTAGTTTGTCTTCTTTTCATGACCAATCATCTGGCCACAATTCAATTCAATGCTCCAATTAATTTTTGAGATAGCGTGTAGACGTGGACTATCTTTCCTGAGCAAATTTAAAAGTGAGGCAAATGTTCTGTTTGGACTGACACTGCAGCCCATCGCCAAGTTGTTCTCCATGTCGCGACACAAGACACTGTTTAGGGAGAGAAAAACAATATTTCGTTTAAATCTTCTGTCCAGTTTGTCTTCTTTTCATGACCAATCATCTGGCCACAATTCAATTTAATGCATCACTTACTTTTTTTTTTAGATATCCTGTCCAGCTGGACTATCGTTTCTGTGCAAAAAGCGAGGCAAATGTTCTGTTTTGGACTACGACTGCAGCCTATCGCGAAGTTTTTCTCCATGTTCCACTGTCACATGAAAATCCGACTCCTATGAAAATCGGACCCCTACTTCCCTATTATTGGTTGATCCCTCGCACGTAAACAGCTCACTCTCCTGAAACGATCCTAAAAATAGCACAGTATCGTACTGTCGCGTGCGCAGTACTACACTGTAAACAATTTGCCCGTAATTTTACGGTAAAAGCACTGTCAAACGGGTTGCCAACAAAAGACCGTAAAATTACGGTCAGTTACGGGTTTCCAAAAATGACGGTGACCGTAATTTTAACGCGAATTTCCCTTAAATTTGACGGCAATTTGCCGTAAAGTAATGGAATACAAAGTGGGTGGCGTCAGAGCTGAGTGTAGGGGTCTAGGGAGGGGGGTAGGTTCCAGTTGCAGCAGCTGGGAGTGGGGTATGCATACGTCTTGCAGCTTGTCTTTTACACGCATAGTGGTTTTCAAATCACTTAATGTGAAATTATCTTTAAGTTGTAACATAACTTGCATCTGTAAGTTGTAATTTTCATTTACAACTTTTTACCGATCCCACAGAAAGGGGTCAACCTATTGCTGGTCAACACCGCAGGATTAGCTGTTTGGCTCTCCAAATTCCGCAATATCAAAGCATTAAGGCTGTGACGTCCCAATGATCAGCACGTAGCGAACGTTGCGTGAGTGCACACGAATCACAGCTTTAAAAACTAGGCGGTTGTGAGGGTTTGAAAGGGGAGGGGTTTTGAAAAGTTACGAATACAAAGCATTGTGAATCCCAGCATGCGTCAGGGCACCAAGTTTTACGGGAAATGCACGTAGCACGTTCTTTCTTGTGACGATACGAGCAATAACGGTAATAAACCGTAAAAAGTACGGGAAATTGACAGTGTTTTTACGGGTTCTGTTTACAGTGTACCAATGAGTCCACATTTTATGGAGTCGGATATTCACGCTTCACCGCCACAAGACACTGTTGAGGGAAGAGAAAAACAATATTTTGTCTCAATCTTCTGTCTTTTTTGTCTACTTTTCATGACCAATCATCTGGCCAAAATTCAATCGAAAGTATAATCTTAATTTATGAGATATCCTGTCCAGCTGGACTATCGTTTCTGTGCAAAAGTGAGGCACTGATGTATTTCCTGGAGTGCTTTTACACACTGTCGTTTTTGTTTTTGTTGTATTATTTTTTTTTCTTCAACGGTTTCTTTCAAATTTCAAACATATTGTCTCGTCTATCACAGTCAATTATGGGATGCAATTTCAAATCAGTGCAATGTGTTTTTCTTGAGTTAATCGTCCCCACATAGAGTGCTTTATTTTTGTTCCATTAAAAGTGACTCGAATTCGAATTGAATTATTCGCGATTAGTACACTGTATTTCCTTAAATCATATTAAATTTATTCTTCAACGGTTCTCGTCGATTTTCAAACCATTTGTTTGCTATATCCAAAACAATTATTGAACGAAATGCTAATTCAGTGCACTGTGTTGTTCTTGAGTTATCGTCTCCACAAAGAGTACTTAATTTTGGTCCATTAAAAGGGACTCGAATTCAAATTGAATTATTCGCACTTTAGTACACTACATTTCCTTCATATTAAATGTATTCCTTAATGGTTCCCGTCGACTCTCAAACCATTGGTGTGCTATATCCCAAACTGTTATTGAACGAAATTTCACTACAGTGCACTGTTTTGTTCTTGAGTTATCGTCAACACAAATACTTCGTTCGGGCAGATCGTGATCCACGTTGACGAAAGTCTTTATGGTGACGACCAGTATTTGTGTAGCGCGCCCTCTGTTGAAAGAAATTGATGTTGGTAAAATGTACGGCAGTGCTCTAACACACTGTCGTTTTTGTTTTTGTTGTAGTTTCTTTCAAATTTCAAATATATTGTCTCGTATATCACAGTCAATTTTTGGACGCAATTTCAAATCAGTGCAATGTGTTTTTCTGGAGTTATCGTCTCCACAAGGGGGGCTTTATTTTTGTTCCATTAAAAGTGACACGATTTCGAATTGAAATTTTTGGGATGAGTACTCTGTGTTTCCTTAAATCATACTTAATTTATTCTTTGATGGCTCCCGTCGATTTTCAAACCATTTGTGTCCTATATCCCGAACAATTATTGAACGAAATTTCAATTCAGTGCACTGCGTTGTTCTCGAGTTATCGTCTCCACAACGAGTGCTAAATTTTTGTTCCATTAAAAGTGACTCGAATTCGAATTGAATTTTTCGCGATTTGTGCACTGTATTTCCTTAAATCATATTAAATTTATTCTTTCATAGTTCCCGTTGATTGTCAAACCATATGTATTTTATATCCCGAACAATTTTGGAACGAAATTTCAATTCAGTGCACAGTGTTGTTCTTGTTCACTTAATGCCGACGTCGTTTGGGCAACAGGGTCTGCAACCCACCAGACACGGGGGTCAGACAACTAGACCGTTGAGACTCAACGGTCGAGTTGTCTCATCGGTCGAGTTGTCTCAACGGTCGAGTTGTCTCAACGGTCGAGTTGTCTCAACGGTCGAGTTGTCCGACATTCCCCGGCGATTTAATGCATATTACGCTAAAACACTGGTTCGGGTTTTATACCGTTATGTACTTCTTCAATATACAATGTGGACGTGACCTATCTAGAATGTTCATTGATAGGCCTATGTTTCGGGGAATTTGAATATAGGACTGTCACTCTTCTGTAACTTTGCCAAAGTCAAGCGTTGGCCACACAAACTACGTACTGAAGCAGCGACTTAAAGTCTAGCAACTCATCGTTGAGACTTGAGACAACTTGACTTTGGCGACAGCTCGACGTTGAGACAACTCGACCGTTGAGACAACTCGACCCCCGAGACAACTCGTCTACTGAGACAACTCGTCCACTGAGACAACTCAAAAAGAAAACAACAAAAACTAAATTGACTGAATGATCCAACAATCCATTTTATTATATCACATCTCCTGACATGGTGATTCAGAATATTACATACAGCAAAAGTAACTGATGAAGTCGATTAATTGTATTGGCGAGTCTTTTAATATTACTTAGGCGAGAGGTCACCATCTGTATGTTTGGAACATGTTAGCACTAACTCTTGCTAAGCATCACGCCATCAGGATCACTAGTCATGATTGGCCAAGAGTTCTGAAGGGGCGTGCTCCCAAGTCACAGCAGGCTAGGCAGGACATGCATCAGGCAATGGTAGATTATGACAGGGCTATTAGCTTTGTACATGTATGCCATGTAAATGCATCTAAAATCTGATTGGCTTACAGTTTTTAGTGGGTGTGTCCCCAAGACACTGCGTGGCAATGGTAGATCATAATGCTATTAACTTTGTGCATGTTTCAGTAGGGAACTAAGAATGCACACACAGTGAGCTACGAGTCGAGTACAAGCCTATGGCCGGCCATGGGAGAACAAGCAGGATTTAATAAAACCCACAGATCTACGTCTTCTTAATTAATGGAAGATGGGACCAGTATATTAGTCAAAGAATTCACCCGTTTCTTATCATTTTTTTGTTGTTGTGAAATTAATTCACCCCATCCACCCAATCCACAAGGTATTATTTCACAGGGTTTCGCAAGGTTATTGCTGGGGGCTGGGGCCTTCCACCGCATTCACAGGGATCGAACATCCTTGGACCAGACCCCTGCTGCATGGTTGTTAACTAGCGATGCTTGTTACAGTATTAAAATAAACAACTCCAAGCATTTCAAGGAAATTTGGATCATTGGGATATGCAATACATTTTGTTTGTAATATTATGTAACAGCATTTAAGATGTGAAAACTGGGGAAATGTTGCGATTACTCCCTTCAAATCTTGATTCCGATACCTGAATAAGCTACAACACGATTCAAACTTCCAAAGGGTAGGCAAAGCTCATTCTGCTATAAACCCAGCATATTTCCCCATCAGTCTGTGTCCACACTGTTCAGGATTTGCAACAAACACAATTGTTTTTAAGGCCGTCAAATTCAACAGCAAACTCCAACATCATGTCCAAGTAGCCTGCTTCCAACTTGCTCGGGATTGTAGAACAAAAAGATGACAAGTCCAGGTTTTGAGAGAAAAATGCTGTCCAACATTTCAGCTACCGTACACCAGCACTATCCAATGAAAGGGAGACATTGTCACGTCTTGCTGTCTTTGTCTGCATACTACATAGGACACACACAAAAACAAATATAGTGTTATGCAACTGCTATTGAAAAGTGCTGCGTAATAATCATGGAAAGGCATCGATTTAGACACTTTGAATAGGCTACCATCATGCTGTAATACCTTATTGAGGACCCATTCTGCATCTTGCATTGCCCTCGCGATAATCTGTTTGATCCTCATCGAATCCAATTCATCAGCATGGCTACGGAAACCCTGCGAGTTCAAACAAGTGGAACATTGATGTCAACTTCAAGGATGGGTACAGAACTCAAAAGTGTGTGTGTGGGGGGGGGGGGGGGGGGGGGGGGGGGGGGGGGTTGGCAGGGTTATTAAACACAGTGTCTATCTAAGGGCAAAATCAAGTGTGTCAATGGGGGAAGGGGAACGCTGGAACATTATGACACTTTTTGACTTACAAATGTCATGGAATTTTATAGTACAGTTGTACTTTGTATTGTAGGCCTAGTAGTATAATGTACAGTGACTAGCCCCACTAGTGTGGCCGCGGTATGCTGCGCTGGTTCAGCGCAGCATACCGCGGCCACAGTGGGGCTAGTCAGTGACGAGACTGAGTTTAATATTGAGACTGATTGACCATGCAGTGGCAAAAGTGGTAAGGGAAAAGGGCCAATACCTGTCTGACATGATGTTTGTAGTGACTGTGGGCCTCTCTAGGCAACTTTTCACAAGCTCTTAGAAGATACTTGTACAACTGTTTTGATGTTTTGATGCTTGCTGTCGACGTCCCCATTTCTAAATGTAGCTCATCGCAGCACTGCTAGTTTGCAAGTGCGCCCTCACAAGATAGAGAATTACGCGATCGTGAAGATGGGAGTTCTAAAAACAGCGGTTTTGTTTTTGATATTCGAAACATCTTAGGAGCCTGACTTGGAATACTATAACATAAAACGGGCCATTTTTTGACTAAAGAATACCAAATTCTTTGTTATGAGGCCGAATTATATGTACTTTTTTTTGCATTCAGTTAGCTTTAAAATTATTCTGATATCTGAAGCGAAGGATGACAGAAGCCGAACTGGAAACGAAGCCAACATTTTGAAAAATTGAGACCTTGAACATTGAGGGCGCTGTTACGCTGCAGCAGTGTTTACTTAAAGTATTTTAAGTTTACTCGTGACTTGAATTTCATTACGAAAAATTTCCCCTTATTACGATGAAGGTGGTTGATCGGAATATAGGCCTAGTACTTTAAGTAGTATCATGTGTTTCCGCATCACGAGTTCAGCAATCGTTGGTTTAGTTTAATTTTATTCTTGATAAATGCATCGATCGATCCATGACCGCGCGTGAGTACGTACATGACGTACGGCGATCGAGTGAGTGAACGGTGACTGCAGTTTGTTGTGCATTGACAATGTGATAATCCTTGATCTTGATTGATAGCTGATATTGATAAGCTCCGACGTACAGGAACATCACTCAGCTTGGAAGGGGTGGACATGCTTCGATCCGTATCGAAGCAAGTAAACAACTGAGTACAGGTAAAATACCGTCAATGTTAGTATTAGTATCCTTGAAAATTGCTTTGAAAGTTTGAGTTTAAACTTTGAGCTTTTGTTTAAATTTTTTAACAGATACAGGTACATGCCTCTGTGTCGCCTCTGTATTGCTGCGCTGTACATTCATGACGTTAGGCCACACGTCTGGTTTTCCAACCTTCTGAGGAGTTTAATCCAAAACCAGCGCACTTTTTTTTGGCATTTTTTTTTACATACCACTGCACACAATTGTATTCTATGATGTCTCATCTCCCCTCCGGATTGATTAGGTAATCTTTCTTGAAATTTTTAGAGAAATTTAGACATCTTTCCTGGAGTCCTCATGTGCAAGTTTCGGACTAAACTCCTCAGTAGATTGGGAAACCAGACGTGTGGCCTAATGTACAGCGCAGCAATACAGTAGCCCACACAAGTGGGGCTAAGATACAGGGTGAGTAAAAAAAAGGAAACCCAAATGTTGGGACCATTGTTTTAGTGAAGCTCTGCATGTAGAACTTTCAAAATCTAGGATATAAAAGCCCAATTCATAAGCTTTCTTTTAGTACGAGAATCATTCAAATCACTTTTGTACTTTTCAAGTTACGGAGTTTTAAACACAACCACCGTTTTAAAGTTCTGTCCACTGATCCCAAAAAAGGTGTGGTTCTTTCAACAAAACGAAAACAATTCACACGCATCCCTATGTGATTTCTTTTCGTTTTGCTGAAGAACACTGATCTGGCTGGCAGTGTATAGGTCTAAAAGTGGCGCCGGTTTAAGTAAACGATATTTTGCCGGCTAAGCACTGAACTTGCGCTGTGACTTTTTGGGCGACTTTATGTTGACCGTGATATGTTGGTTCTGTGCCAACATTGTCATTGTGACTTCGTATTCACGAGATGGGATTCAGACCATTTTTTTTTTTCAATTTTGGACGTTATTTCCCTAAAGCTACAATCCATCATTTGCAGTTATCCGAAAGGTAACTGAGGTAATTATTGTTGCAAAAACATACTTGGTTGAAAGATAGTGAGGGGATTAAACTCCCTGTTTTAATGTGGTTGCTTCAATTGTTGGATCGGTGCACGACATGATCCGTAGCTGCAATTGGTTTATTGAGAACGTGTCTCGGACCCTGAATTCAGGCCCAATTCAAAACATGTACAGCAAGTCAGCAACTTTTGATTTGAAATCGAGATCCTAGAATGCTGTTTTTCTCGGAATATACAGCTGAAAGTTTACCAGGTTAGATGTTCAGCACCTTTCTTTAGATTTTGAGCACGTTTGTTGCTTCAAACAAACAAATTGCACAAATTACAAATGATGGACTGTACCTTTAAAAGAAATCCTCCAGAGCCACGAATAACAAAAAGAAAATTTAATAACCTGTAAATAAAAGAAGAAAATACCAAAATTTTGGGATGAAAAAACAAAAACAAAATAGAAAATGTTGCTAAATGTTGTTCTCCCAACCATGAGTTGCACGCTCTTTCCACTAGGCCACAGGTCTTGTACCTGATGATGGTCATTTAATACCTTTAAAGGATTAGCCGGCACTGGCTAGGCCAGCCATAATTTCATGGCATATTTTGGTCATACTGGCATCCATGCTAGATCAATTCTTTGAACCAAAAACAAGATGTGATGCCATCGTTAATTTTGACCCTAAATATACCCAATTTGCATCAATAGTTAATACCTGCTGTGTAATTTATTTTCCCCCATATTTAGGTATATTTTTAATTTTTTTATTTTTTTAAATTTATTTTGGTGATTCTATCCTTACTTCAATAACATTTTCTTAAGCATATATAAGAGACTGAATAATTATGAGGACATAGTAACGATCCAAAAATGGCTACTAAAAAAAAAAATCCCTCCTACCTACCTACCTTATTTTTGATTGCCATGTAATTATGGCAGGACTATTTTTGTTTTGGCCTAAGTGGTCTTATTAATGAAGGGTTGGCTAACTTGGGAGACTTAAAAAAATTAAAGGAAATTCCCAAATTTTGGAAAGAAAATTAATGGAAAGAAAACATTTGGACATTGACATAATTATTGCAAGCAACTTTTTTTTTTGGGAGGGGGGGGGGGATTTCCTTGAACTTATTCAGGTCTCCCACGTAACAATGTAGGTGACTCTTCGCCTTTCATTTTGTGATCGACTGCATAAAAAAGAATGATTTGTTCCAACACTGCACACTGCCTGATTTGGTCATGGGAGTGATAAGTTATCTTTAGAGTGAAATGAATCATAAAGTCCTTGTGTCATTGTGTGTATAGGGAAATGACTAAGAAACATTGTCAAGTTTCAACAGGGAAGTCTTTGGATAAAATAGATGTATCTTTAATAAATAAACACCAGGATATGAGCATACTAAAAAAAAATATCCACCGTTCTCTAATTGAAATTGTTTGCGGCTAATTAGTACAATCTATGGTACCGGTACATATTATTTGGAACTTCCTACTACATGAGAGCCCCTAAGTTTTTAAGCTCTGGCAGGAGATTCTACATGTCGGTTGGTCGGTCAGTCGGTCGGTCGGTCCCCGGAAAATTGACCAAAAATGGGCCCCCTAAGTTTCCCATAAAATATAATTGACCAAAAATTGATCAAATGCAATGCCGTCGTCAGTACATGAAAATGCACTCTTGGCAAAAGTTTTTGGAACACACCCCTTTGTCTCGATGAATGCGCATGCGCGTCTATTTTGCATATGAAGTGAGACATTCCGGAAGCAGGCCAGAGCTTATTGTGCACTCGCGCTTGTTTGTTTAAACTCGGAAATATATTTAGATTAGAAAAAAAATTCCTCTTGGTTTGGAAAGGGTGATACAGTTTTTACTCCTCAAAACCAAATACAAAAGGATTTAACCTGCGTACAAGGAAGTCATTAAAGAAAATATTACAAAGAGTGAAAGAGATGAGTTTCGATGCATAAAATTCGGTCGTTATTCCGTCATTTTGGTGGTTGCAACGAAGCCTGTGTGTAAACAATAAATGTTTACTTTTTATTCTGAGGGTTTCATTTCCGTTTTGGGAGTGTCTGGAAAAGAACGTCACATGCACTGCAAATTCCGTTGAGATAAGTACATGAAGATGCTATTGCAGGCTCAAAATATAGTACATGTGTGAATACTTCGGTGACAAAAATGGACCGTGTTTTAATATTTTACTCTTTATTTAATTGTTATACAGATTCTTCTGACGTGCAGTTCCAACCGTGAGTGATAATGAAATCAGAGGGTATTCAGTCTCCGGATACAACAATGATTACTGAAAGCGATCCACTCATACCTGTGGAACAGAACTCGGCAGGACCACAGAAAGGTCCCAACCCAGTCGTCTCTGGCAGTGGTAGTGTCATTGATACCCTGCTGACTACTCCAGCAACCGCCATCAGTCACAAGAAGAACTTGATCGTTCTGAGTCTGGCATTCTTGTTCAACTTCACCGCGTACAGCGCCTTACAGAATCTTCAAAGCAGTCTGCATGCGACAGCCGGCGTGGCTTCCCTAGCAGTCATCTACGGTGGAATCATCATCTCGAGTCTCTTAGCGCCAGCCTTGATTCGAGCCGTCGGTACCAAATGGGCTATCGCTCTATGCACCTTGTGTTACACCGTCTACACGGCTAGTAATTACTACCCGCGAGATTACACCTTGATTCCAGCTGGTTTGATTTTAGGTTTAGCGGCAGCCCCGCTGTGGATATCGCAAGGAACCTATCTCACTACCACAGCTATAAGTTATGCCGACATCAAGAACAAAGTTCCAGAAGAAGTCATCAATCAGTTTAATGGCGTCTTCTTCTTCTTCTTCCAAGCGAGTCAAATCACAGGGAATCTTGTCGCTTCGTTGGTCCTGTACCCTGACACTAACATGACTAGTTTCATCAATGTCAGTCAATGTGGTATACATGAGTGTGGATCTGGTGGTAGTGATAACAAGTCTGGTGAAGGGCACAGTGGTTCCAACATCGCAGCAGGAACAACAACAACGCTAATCTCTGTATACTTGGCATGCGGGTTGCTGAGTATGCTTATCACTTGCCTGTTTCTGAGCAAGCTTCACGTTTCTGATGCCGGCATTATCGAGAGCGTCAAAAGCAATTTGGTGGCTACACTGCGTCTGCTGATGAATCCGTACATACTCATGCTTGTGCCTTTATTCATGTATAGTGGAATGGAACAAGCATTTTTCTTTGGAGATTTCACTAAGGTAAATACACTCAACCAAAAATGAAAGTCCCCCTAATACTTTTTTGTCTACATGTATCTCAAAAACTACTGGATACTTCTCGCTCAAATAACGACTAATCAGTACAGAAATTCCTTAGCAATCCAGCCCAAAACAGTGACAATGTGTATGAAATTATGCAATTTATGACAAATGATACCGAAAAAAAGTTGCACTTTAGTATACAGTAACCTCCGGCAAAACCGACATCGTACAACTCGTCAAATTGCTCAAGTCGGCCGTCTGACTAAAGTCCCGATTGTCCGTAATGCATTTCCATTGGATTTTTTATTTCTAAGTCGGCTTTTATAAGTCGCCATTTCGCTCATGTCGTCGTGTTTCTCTCGGCCCCTTTCCATAAAAAGTCGGCATTCAACAAATCACGCATTGGCATCGACTTCCTGTACTGCGGTTGGCAAAGTGTCGAGTGAAAAGTGGTTTCGCACGGCCCGCGATTGCTGCATGCATCGGTGTCGTAGTCTCATAAATGTGACGGTAAAACGGAGGTAGACCAATATTACCGTCACATTTATGGGATGGGGGGGGGGGGGCAGGAAAACAGTCTGGTAAATATCAGAGACGCCTAGTCCCATAAATGTGACTGAAATACTGGACTACCTCCGTGTTATCAGTCACGCTTTCTACATCTTCTGTGCATGGATAGTCCTATTGCTAGGGGAGCCGAAAATCAATTTAAGATCAAAATTATTTTGTCACTTGAAAATCACCCCAGTTATAGTATGACTGCTGAATAGCAAAAAAAAATGTTGAATTCCGTAGCTTCAGTGTAGTTATCCAAAAATCATGGTAACTCGGCGACGAATTCCAACGGTTTTGAAAAAGCATGCCTCACGTTCAATTTCTTTCTAATGTGGCTTATTTAGAGTATGTTTCATCACAAATTTTGAATTATTCATCAAAGCTGACTGGTATTAATTTGTAACGTCATTGCTTTCATTTCTCTACACAAGTTCCACAAATGAAGATTTTACCTTGCTCTCAATCCAATATGGCCGACTCGTGAATAAGGCCCATTCGTCGCCGAATTACCATGATTTTTGGATAACTAGACTGAAGGTACGGAATTCAACATTTTTTTGCTATTTAGCAGTCATACTATAGCTGGGGTGATATTCAAGTGACAAAATAATTTTGATCTTAAATTGATTTTCGGCTCCCCTAGCAACAAGAACATCCACGCACAGGCCTTATGCAGCAGTGTGATTGAACATACATTTGTACGGAGGTAGTCCAGTATTTCAGCAACATTTATGGGACTAACATAGAAGGGTTAAAGAAAATACCTTACAACAAAAAACTTACCCACGTGTAGTAAACGTGAGGCAGAGACCACTATCCGCTCCGTTCACAAGTACCCCCTCACCAGCAAAGAAAGTTCAGTTGGGGGTGACTGACTGACGCCATCTTGCCTGACTGCAATTTTGCCACGACGCGCGGCCGGCCGTACCACTGCGTGTACATAGTACAAATCCCCTGGCGTACGTGCGTCATACACAAGGAACGGTGCGAGTCAACCAGCTAAATGTCCCGCCCATGGGATGTCGTTGCTAGGTAAAAGGGCGCCCTCTTTTGTTGGCGCACGGAACCCGTAGTAGAAACATAGAGGAAGGCCTTCATCCATGGTAGAGGGAAGGTGCTGGAGGCTGGAGCCACTGGCACGAGTGGCACAAATCAAAGAAATTGAAGCCAAATATATATGGGGAGGAGATAAATTAAAGAACAAAATCACAGAGACTTATCTGTAACACAACAAACTCAAAGGCCCACTGATGTTCCCTCGACTGCTGAACAGCAAAATGACCACACCCAACCTCCAGCACTACCCTTTTATACATGGTCTCTGCCCTACTTGAGTGAATATGAAAAGGAAATATGTACAACCCAAAAGAAACTTTGCATAATTAATTATGCTGGCCTGCTAGGCCAGGCAGGCCTGGCCAGGATTAGAATTCCAAGTAACTAAGGGGTTATTGTTGTACAGTTGAGCTGGACTGAACTTAAAGAATGTTGGCCACTAGAAAATAAAATAAAGTTAACGCAGGCACAGAATTTTTGTTACAACTAAAAGGTTATTAATGATAAAGATTTTGTTTCTGAATTTAAATCAAGTCATCACAAGTCAATCACAAGAAATCAAAATTAGCCAATCACAGGTCAATCACAAGTCAATCTGAATGTTCATTGTTCATTACCTTTTACTTATGATCTGACTTGTGATGTACTCAGATATTAATGATAAAGATGTTTTTTTCCTGAAATGAAATCAAGTCATCACAAGTCAATCACAAGTCATCACAAGTCAATCACAAGTCCATTGCAATATCACAAGTCAATCACAAGTCAATCACATGCTAATCACAAGTCAATCACAATTCAATCACAAGTCAATCACATGTCAATCACAAGGCCATAACAAGTCAATCACAAGTCAATTTGAACGTTCATTGTTAATTACCTTTTACTTATGATCTGACTTGTGATTTACTTTTCAACAAATTGTCCATGGAAATATTGTTTCTATTATATATTATATATCTGTTTTGGTTCGTTTATCATCAGGCTTTCATTACCTGCACCAATGGCATTCACTACGTCGGTTTCATCATGATGGTCTTCGGTGTCAGTGATGCAATCTGCTCATTCCTCTTGGGCCGTCTGGAGAAATACTCGGGTCGTATCACCATCTTCACGGCTGGTGGATTGGCTCACATGATCATCATATTCATGCTGATGTTTGTTTGGAGTCCAGACAGCGATGCGCCTGAGTTATGGGATCGGTTCCTCATGGCGGCATTTTGGGGATTCGGTGATGCAGTATGGCAGACGCAGATAGCATGTAAGTAATGAAACTTAACTGAAATACACGGCAAGTTTGATTGCAGGGATGTACATGTAGTCCTCCAGGTGTGCGTTCTTTCAGCAAAACCAAAACGATTCACACACATCCCTACGTGATTTGTTTTCGTTTTGCTGAAAGAACACTAACCTTATTGTGATCCGTGGACAGAACTTTAAATTGACTGATTCTTGTACTAAAGAAAGCTTATGAATTGGGCTTTCATATCCTAGATTTTGAAAGTGCTACATGCAGAGCTTCACTGAAACAATGGTCCCGACATTTGGGTTTCCTTTTTTTTGACTCGCTTGGGTCCGAGTAAAGTGAGTCGAAGTGTGGTCAAAGTTGCTCTTCAACATTATTCATTACAGGTATCAATTTCTAAAAGCCTGATCGTTTCTCTCTCCTTATTCAGCCATTTTAGGCGTCATCTTCCCAGAGAACCAAGAGCCAGCATTTTCCAATTACCGTCTCTTCCAAGCTGTTGGCTTCTGTATCTACTTCGGTTTATCCACTGCTGCTGCTGTCTGTGTCATCCATAAGCTTATTACAATCGCAGTTCTTCTTTTCGTTGGACTTGTCCTGTACTACACAGTTGAATGGAAAATACGCAGGGCCATTTCGTACTAAATATCACAAATGCTGCTTTTTTGCAAAGATTTCATTTGCATGTTTTGTTTTACCGAAATATTCATTGAAATATTATTGAAATTGTTGTAATAGCAAAACGTATTACAAATAGGAGAGACATAGCGTTAATTTTTATTTAGTCTTTTGCTAAGTCAGGATATTTGTATATCATGCTCTTTTCAAGTTGTCTATTTGTATACACTTTTTGTACCCAGAATAAACGTTGTGAAATATTTTTTTTACAAAAATGCTAGTACAGCAAAATTTGTTTGAACATATGGTTGAATGCTCCAGCATATAATGCTACTATTTAATTTTTGCTATCTGCTTCAGGAAATTGCAAGCTTTGTTTGAGGAAGAAAGGAAATTGAATTTATTTGAAGGTACATGTACAGTATTAACAGTACCTAATGGTCAGCAGCCTTGAAAAAAATTATAGTACCAGTTTATTACTTATATGGAATATTAATTTGTTTATGTGAAATCTAAATAATCAATTTCTTGCAGCATACATATTAAAAAGAAAACAACCAAATCTGTAAAGACGACAGAATTTTCTTCCTCAGAAAATTCAGAATTTTTTGGATGGAACTTTACTTTTTAAAAACCTAATTAAATACAGTAGGTCTAACACACTAGTATTAATATAACATGTGTGTATCATTGTAATCAAGGGTATCATTGTAATCAAGATATCATTGTAATCAAGTAATTAATTTTGAATGGTATAGTTAATAACATCACAATCTAATAGAGATGTATTCCAAGAATACGTTAGGAAGTTTGTCCACAGTGTTTTTTTTCTATCATTACTTGCAGCTTATAAAATAATTATATAGTATTTTTACAGAATTGTTAGATTATTTGAGGACGATTTATTAATCCTTCAGATGCAATAAAATGACCTCAAACCACTGGACTTAAGGAATTTGATCTCTCTAAAAAGCATTGTTTGCATATTAAAGGAACAAATTTAGAATATTTTATAGGCAGACCAAAGTTAAAAATAGCAATAATATAACTAATTTTCGTGAATTCTATGAGATAGTATTGTATATTATATTGTAATCAATGGCATAGCATTTTTGGATATTTTTACATCCAAGATTTGTTTCCTTTTTGTTTCATTTGGTCATTTTGGTTTTGACATTCCAAATCAAAATTTAAAAAAATTGTGTTTTACATGAAGTATATGTCATGTATAAAAGAGGCTGTTAGAGTACTTAACTTACAGAAAGCTTTAAAAAAAAATTGATATTGCGTCAAAATATTAAATATGCTACTTTCTTATAATTTGGCTTTTTTTTAATACTCTTTGAAGTTCCAAAACGTGCCTTAGCTAGCTCTGTAATTTTCAAAGTGCTCTATTCTTTTACTTAAATATATTTAATTTTGTGCTGTTTATTTTTTTGTGTGATCGCTTTTAATAAAACAAAGGGAATCATTGCGGTTAAATCGTTCTCTTTATAGTTGTTGATAAATATTTGTTACTTTTCAATCAACCACGTGACTCCAACATAGCCCCACCCACCAACTTGCACCACCCACTCACCAACCTACAAAACAACCAATAAGGGATTGTTTTATCAGTTATATGAATAATTCATAAAGCTGTGCATCAATCTGTGTGGGAAAACATGCCAGACTGGATGACCAATCATATACAGCCTTTCATTTATTCAAATCGTTCATATCATCAGCGCTAGGTCACATATCGCATGTAGTATCGATGACCCTTTCGATTTGACCCAGATAATAAAAAGTCTTTCATATCAAACTTTGCCATGATAAAACTTTCAATGAATTTAATCAATCAATTAGCATATCAATTAGTCATCGGGATGATCTTGATTGTGTGATAAATATGACAATATGAAATTATTTAGGGAAGCCTTTATTTGAAATTGAATACTTGACTATTCATGGTAATAAGAACACATTTTGTCACCTTTTTATTATTTGAATATATTGAAAATATATGAATAAAAATGAGCCATGTCATATTTAACAGACTGATAAAAAATCGGTAGAAAATAACTTCTCTAAATGAATCTATTAATGGAAAAAAGAGGACTTTATTCGCTGCAATATTTTATGAATAATTTGGTATCTGAAGTGCAGCTGCGATGAGTGTACACAAAACGTAATAAGCGCAAAGTTCAAAGGATCACGGCGCACGCGCACAGTCATCAAATAATTGACTTTGGACACGACAAGACAGACATGCGCTGTGTGCCTGGGATCAGATTATTTGCGCCAAGTTACGAGTTCAACACTGGATATTTTTAATTTGTAATAAATCACCTGCGGTATGGCTTTCATTTAAAACACACTTCATAGATAGAAGTGACCAAATCCTATCGATCATCGGACTTTTGTGAACATTGTGACACTAAAAAGGGAGAAAAACCAGGTTTTAGTAGTTGGGTTCCGAAGACGTGCATGCTGCAGCAGTGTGTTAACGCACCGTGTGCATTGTACAACGAGAACTACACTCGCGCCATTGCATTGCATAGCACACCGCAGTGAATTCTGCTGCTAAACTTCAACTAAACAACTTAGAAAAACGATGTTTAGGTGATTTTACTGCGGTCAGAATGACGACAATTCTGTATGACTTGGATACGTCAGGAGGTCTGATGGATGTAAGTACACTCACAAAACATTCTTGGTTATTTTGAGGCCGTGGAAGTAATGTTTCTTGCCATGCTGATCAGTGGACATGGTTGGATGTCAAACAAAATGGCCAACGTCAATGAGTTAATACGCTATGCATATGGCTAGAAAAAATGGTGTGCATGTCAAATTTCAAGCCCAGTTTGCGATCTCTGTAAAGAGAATTCTGAGCTTTTCTCAGATAATAATGATTTGCATGGTTGTCTGTTATGTACTCAGCAAATCCAGGCCCTGGTTGCGCCCCCTGAGAGTGACGAACCGCCGAGAAAAATACGGCGAATTCGGGAGCATCGGCGAGCGGGTCGAGCCGTCAACCACGACAACTGTGATAGCTGTCGTGAAGGTGGAGATCTGCTCTGCTGCGATCGGTGTCCTTCAGCATTCCACCTCCAGTGCTGGTGAGTTTCACACTCAAACCCCACGATTATTATTCACAACATTTTACTTTGTTTTTGTAGTCTTTTCTTGAGTTTGACAGAGACTGTCAGACCAGGCAACTAGAATCTTTTGGGTGACATTCCACTGCAGTCAAAGGCAGTGGTTATCAAACAAGGAAAATCAAACATGGCTGCCATTATGCAGTACTGTAGTAAGGTGAAGACACAGGGGATGTGTATGCGGGTGTGTGGTTCTGTCATCATGTGTAAGCGTGGCGGTAAGGGCCAGGGGCATAGTCCAGTGGATTGGGAAAGGCCATTCAGGGTGAATGAAAAGCAGCTGCTCTACATTAGGAATAAAAAAAGTTGAAACATCTTTCTTGAGCTGTTGTTCATTATCCTCATTTTTAGTAGTAGGCAGGCGTGTGCAGAATTTGTCATACAGTGCACCAGTAGTGAATGTCACGGCAGCATTTTTAGGCTAGAAATTTAAGGATAGTCTCCGCATTATGAAAACAATTTTTTACTTTCTTAGGATTATATTACAAAGTTCTTTTTCAAAGTAACAAACTAAAGTGTAACATAATATGCATACATTTTTTGACATAAAATTTTTTTCACCAATATCATGGTGCCACAAGACAGGAAATATTTGTTAGAATTTATCCGAATGCCGCTTTGGTTGTTGTGTACAAAATCTGTAGTTATTGTTTTGTAAAGAAAATTGGAAAATTTTCTCAGTCCATTTTCACCAATTTTTTGGACAAAATGAACTGAATATCATTGGGCTTATAAAGAAGGTGGTACAGGATATCGCATTTTTACCCATTATCTTTAATCGTCAGCAAATTCATGTTTCTGTCTGCAAATATGCTGCTGTGAACTGTACATGAAGGCCAATTAAAAAACCCTGCCCCCTGCCCCTTTTCATTTTGAGGTGAATGGGTAACTGGTGAAAAATTCCTGGCTACGATCATACCCAGAGTAGCGTGTTTGCAAATTTGTAGTAAACAAACCCCCTCCCCCAACCAAAAAAATAAACCTAATTCGATCAGGCCTATGATTCACAACAGAAATGTGCGTTATCTTTTAAGGAACATTTTTTTGGGGGGGGAGGGGGGTTTGCAGTTGACATTAAAATTTCATGCTAAGGCGTTCGCCCTTAATATTTTTTTTACTAGCCAACCGCACCAGTGAAGCACACTCTTATCTAGTCCACAGGCCTTTTCACTAGTCCGCTGTAGAATTTTCATTTTTGCACAAGAATGTCATGAACAACGATATTATTTACAATAATTTTGACTCACCAGGTAAACTACTTACATTGTAAGGAATAATTTTGACTAGTCCGCCGTTGTTTTTGCTCGCATTTGGCGAGCAGACTACCCCTAAGATATGCTAAAGTCCTATTTCTTAACAAACAATGCAAGTTTTTAAGTTAAATTTCCTGCCACATGCATATTTATGCATACCACCATTATAGTGTTACATGTAGCTCTTGTAGCATAAGAGATGAACACAAATGTTTGACCTTAGCGTGCAATGAATAATTGATCAAATATTTGTTGTTATGGCAACATCTCAGTACAGTGGAGGCTGTGTTATTAAAGTCGCACACAAACGCATGTCTTGTTACACTGTCAATGCAAATAAATGCATATGTGTAGATGAATACATTTGTTAGAAACAGAAATAGCATTCCAAAACTTTGTAAACTTGGACACCATTTTTTAAACTATTACATGCATGTTATATAACAGCTGTAACATATCTTTAGGCCTTTGTTTTTAAATCATTCTTTTGTATCCTTCCCATTTTTTCATTTTTTTTTTTTTTCAATACCTGCACGATTGTGACGTGTCAGTCATTGAAATGATTCACGGCAGTGCTAGCCCTAATTTACCAGAGTATATCCCATCCTAATTTTCTCGAAGAAATCAGACAGTACAATTTATGTAAGATGTATTGAAGACCAGCATTTGTCTCTTACATTACACTAGACACAACTTACACTTGTACAAGGTAGAAAAGTAGTTGTTCATTCTGTAACATCTACAATTCTTGACAATTCTATGTATTGCTACATTTACTGTGACATCACCCACCTGCCTTGAGCACATCATTAGACCTACCTGAAGAATTCTTGAATGGAAATTTGCAGTACGTTTTATGTCTGTCAACGTGTATAGTCCAAGTAACAGTAGAAGTCATTATCATAATTTATAGCAGTAAAGCTGTCCGTTGACCTTGCTGACCTGTATACATGTATGTCTGCCATATAATTACCATGGGTTTCCTTTTGCTGTTTGTTATTCTGGCTTGTACTGTACGCACATGTGGCGCTGTGTTCCGCAAGGAAAATACTTGATATCAAGTTAGATAAGAATTCTGATCATAATCCTGGTTTTACTTTGTGTTTGTGATAATTTGAATCATGAATGGTTTGATATTTTTATTTCATTTCAGTAATCCGCCATTGAGTGACGATGATTTGCCTCCAGGTGAATGGTTGTGTCACAAGTGTACGGTGGCCCCTGAGGTAGGTGTTAGCCTGTGCACACACTTTACTCGGTCCAGTTTCGGGTTTGCTTAGAAAAGCTGTGGAGAAAAGGGTTTCTGGTCACTGTTTCTATGCTGTAGTGGGAGTGTACAAATGTATTATGTTTTAATACAGATTGATCAACTGCAAAACTTTGCTGCTTTGTTGGGCAATACAACTATACAACATTTGCAAGTTCATCAAAAAACAAACCTACCATTTTATTATGAAAAACCTTCTTACTGGAAATTAGTGAATGACAGTATACTCTAAAGCATCACTTAAAATCATGGCACCTGGTGTGCTGCCATTTTCAAGAAAAGTGGTGTTTTCTTGTAGTTGGTCGGCCGACCGACCAGCATTGGAAAAACTGGCTGTTTTCAAATACTGCCCCCAATTGACTATATTTAGGTAGTCCGCATTTTGTTTGCAATCGATTACACACCTATGAATGGGTACAAACCAGCTAGACTGGTTCCCTGACCTTACAATTTCTGACGTCTATAAAATGTTCTGTTTCATTTTAAGTGGGGTCAGGGAACCAGACTACCGGAACCTGATTGTTTTTCTTGGTTTTCCCAATATCTATGAACACAAAACTTCAAACAAGTCAGTGTAACAATATTTGCTATAAAATGCTAACCCCCAAATCCACCCATTTCTGAAATCACAGCAAAAGCAAATGTTATTTATTCCTTTAAAGCTTGCACACATTTTCCATACTGACTTGCACGTAGTTACTTACTAGAAGGTTTTAGTGTCTTTTGATTTTGGAGAGTTTTGAAAGGTTAAGGTATACGGCTACCAGTCACCTCTTTTGTCTGTCGATGGAATTTGACTTGTCACAGTGTTTACACAAGTTTGATCTGGTTTTGTTTTTAGTAGTTTGTAAAGAAATGCATGGCATACAACGTGGAAGAAACTTTTGACTGTCTGTGATTGATCAAACAATTGGAGGGTTTTTAATGTTCTTAAAGTGTCCTTGGGTTTGTTGAGTAGTGATTTAGTTTCACTGTTGGAGTAATTCATGACAAAAAAATACTGAAAAATTGTCAACAGTTTTCGTCAGTGACAAAACAGTGACTATTGAGCCATGTGCCGTGTTAAGGATAAAATGAAACAGATTGAGAAAGAAGTGGTCACGTATACAGGGTCTAGATTTTAATAAGTTGGCTTACGCAGCTATGAAATGTGCGGAGGTCAGATGAAGTAGTACGTGACTTCTGTAAGACTTAAGCAGCTTCTACTGTAATGTACATGCACAGGATTGCAGCACTTAGAGATAGAATCCTAGCAGTACACATCAATGTAAACACAGTGGATGTGTTCCAAGCAGTGATTGAATTTCCTTCATTCAGCGCAGCAGACTGCCCCAGATGCTGCAGCTTTTGTTGTAAGATTCCCAGTACATCCATTAAAACTGTCCGTGCTGTGTAGTTGGCTAGCATGCCGTGACTCACCCAAGTACAAGTACATGTAGTGCCTTGTCATCGTATTACATGTGAAACATAAAAGACTATCTAGAGGGAGAACATGAGAGATTTTCCCTTCAGTCCATGCACACATTCTGTCTGTAGCTAAGGTTAGGTCCAAAGTACTTGCAGTAGGCCTGAATTATAATGACATTAGCTTTGTTTACAGTATGTGCTTTCTTAAGAGATCTCTGTGGCGCTCGTCCTACCTGGCTCCCATAGGAAAGCACACATGTAAACAAAGAGTGACATCATTATGATTCAGGTCTGTTACACTACGGAAGCGGCTGACGCTACTGCCCATAAAACGTGTAAGAATAATTTCTGGTTAATAGAACAAAAATATTTACTACTGGTTCTTAGACCAAGATAATTACAGCTTGTCCTGTGTAACAATGCTACCGACTGATAAGTTATTGAAAAGCTCAGAAATTATTCTCGCTTGGAAAAGTTGAAACTCTCAGTAGAATATGGCATTGGCAGATTACATCATTTGAAATATTTAGCCGAGTTTTGATAAAATAAGAGCCGGATAGTAAGTTATTTTGGTTAATTAAGGCACGTATTTCAAAATAGATTTATACCATGGTGTCCAGGTGATAACCACTTACATCTGTCATTCATTTGTCAAGTGTACCTGCATATCTAATTGTTTTTAAATGAATTAGTATGTTGGCTTTGATGCCCAATTTATGAATAAATGCCTATGGAGTTTGGTACATGTACCGGTATTTGATACCATGATGACTACTGAATACCCGTACATGTATATTTATTCAGTAGTCACATACAGGTGTGAATATAGTGCAGTAATTTTATTGTTTCCACATGTATCATTTGAACAAATCTGCACAGACCAGGAGGTGGAGATACTAAAACAAAACCATATGGAAAAATAATCAATATCTACTGCATCAGAATATTGTACCCATTGATTGGTGCAGTGCTTTCAATATTGGGTACAGGTTCATACATTACACTGCATACTCAGACGTACAAGTTTTCCTCGGACAAGCTGGTTTTTTATGCTATCAAAATTGAAAAGCATGGCAGAGAATCTTGTAAAGCTTTGAATTTCTTCTTTTTGGTGACTTCCAATTTACATGCCTTTACACTAAAATAAGTTTCTAAATTATGAAGTGTGTGCACTAGGGAATAGTACAGCACTATAAAACGCAATTTAATTATCATGCTGATAATAATCACAAACTTACATGTACTGTAACAGGGTCATTCCATAAATTTGGGGTCCACTTTCTTCCTGTCCCTGTTACATCTATATCTATATTTTTATCACTCTGAATTCTCTGATGCGCTCCTTAACGCAGTCGTCCTCCAAGAGTGATTATGTATAGCAACTACCTACCCAACGAATATAAAATTGTTTGAAGTCATTCTGAACCGGTTCACGTCGGATGACATGTATACACGCAAAGGTTTTGCGGTATTCTGAATGGATGACGGATAAACACGAAAACAGCAAGGCTGGAAATATCTGTCTGCGACCTGCTCGCAGTGAGTAAGGCCGGAAATATCAGGGTGTGCTACCCGCAGTTGACGGCCTAAAGCCGTCTGGCATCGAGGTTTGTGAAAATCAATCTCGCGCCTAGGCCCTGTCAATGTCAAAATAATACTGGCGCGAAGTGGTTAATGATACTTGAATGGTAAATTACATAGTACCAAGGTAACAGGGATAGGAAAAAATGTCGCCCTTTGGACCCTAAATGTAAAGAAGGACCCAGTAGCAAGTGTGGAGAACACAAGTGTGTATACAATCACTGACGTCATTTGGATTGTTTGAAAATATGTGTTGTCCACCGTCATGTATTGTCATGGTTTTCATGTTATACGAAACTAATGCAAGAATGTTGTTTCCTTTAGCCTCAAGATGATGATACGAGCTCAGTTACCTCCAGCAAATCAGAGGACAAGCAAGTCAAGTTTACTGTAGTCTCAGGCAAAGCCCAGCCAACTACTGCTGCAGCGGCTGCTGCTACCACCAAGGCACCTGCGACCGTTGCAAAAACAGCTGTCACTGTTGCTAAAACACCAGTGGTTACTAAGACTGTCCCTGCACCCAGCAAGCCAGCTATGAGACTGAACGATCGACTGATGAGGGAGAATAAACCATGCCTTAGGCTGGTCCAGCTCCAGGCATACAGGTTGGTTACAGCCTGGGTAATACCAGAATAATAGAACTTAGAAAAATGGAACACTTTCGTTCTGGTAAATTAAAAACAAAAATCTACAATATGCAAGGCCAAGAGAATTTGAGTAAATCTCTGAGATAATTAAGTGAGAGGCTTTATGCACAGCACTGCCCTCTAGTGGCAACAATATTTAAGGGGCATTTTGCGTCGCGCATTCTATACTCAAGCATTTATCTTGAGTAGAATTTCCCCTCAACCTATACAAATAGAAATAGTGAAGTGGAACTTCTGAACGTGTTGCTGTCATACGCTACCCTGGCACTAATGTAATATGCTATAAGCTCCGTGCGTGAACAAGAGAGGGTGCTTTTTTACAACTTTTGAGAGCCCCGTTGAGGGGGTACTTGTACACAGATCCCATACATAACCTTTTTCTTTCTGTACTGTTCATCACAGAGAAGCCCAGAAGGAAGTACAGCAAGCCAAGCTTCAGTCTGGTCGACCGACCACCCCAGTAGCCTCACCCCAACCTGATGAACCCTCAACGAGCTCAGCTCCAAGCAGCAGGACACGTCTAGCCAAAAGAGATCTCAAATCCATCCAAGAGAAGAATCTCATGGACTTAGCAACAATCCAAGACTCTAAGACTAAGCGAGAGCTCAGGACTAACCAAGGCTCAACCGGCACTGACTTTAGGCCTAAACGAGATCTGCGGCTTGTGATTGACAAAGTGGACTTGAAGTTGGAACAGGCTAAAGCCCCTGATAGCCCTAAGCATGTTGGCGAAATCAAGGATCCATTTCAGATGCTGATCAAAGCGGCTGAGATACAGAACCCTGTACAGTTTGGTCTGCCCAGCAGTTATATGACATTTGCACCATTACCAGGTCAGTCATAGATGAGTCACATGTGTTCATCATTTTTGTAGCCTCTGGGTCGTAGTAGTAGGGATGTCTGGGTTTTAGATGCACCTGAGACTATTTAGGACACCTCATTTTGTTAATACGCAGATGTTGGCAGGCCTTGGAACTTGAGCAACTTGACACCGTCTTTTGTAATTCAAGGCCAATTTGGAAACCCACTTTCAAATGCCTGCGATGTTTTTTTTCATGTTGGTTATTACGTTGTAAATTATGATACTGGGATCCTTGGAAATAGAATGGATGTTTTAGAAACTATTTTGTGGACATTTTTCATGGCAAAATTTCTCTGCTTCACAAGTTGCAGTTTGAATATAACAGAAGTTAGTAAATGTGGCTCTGATCTTACAAATAATGAATGTGAATTATTCATATTTTAGCTCTGCTTAAACCTCCTGTTATTTGGTCAGTCACAGACAGTCAAAAGACTCTACAAAAACAGATCATTTGAGGTAAACTGGGACTAGTCAAATTCCATCAGCAGACAAAAGAGGTAACTGGTAGGCACAGCTAGCATATCAATCACCTTCAGTCAAAGCATGGCTCTATAAAATGAAAAAGGGATTCTTAAAAACAGCCACTTGATTGATTTTGACTTCTGTGGTGATGTAGTTGAATTTGACAGTCAGAGAAGGGCTTTAACCCTAACCCCTAGGCCCTTTTTGCTAGTAACCATCCTCAATCCTCCAAAATCCTCCAAAAGTTTGCAACACCGCCTAAATCCTTCAAAATCGTCAGATAGTCCTGCCTCAAAATGCATTCATCCTCAATCCTCCAAAATCATCATCTTCAATCCTTTCCAAAATCCTCATGAGCTTAAACACTATTTATCCTCAATCCTCCAAAATCCTTGTGTTTCTCAAACACCATTCATCCTCAATCCTCAAAAATCATCCAAAACCGCAATGTTGATTTTGGAGGATTGAGGTGGGTTAGGGTTAAGCTTTGGAAATGTAAACATCTGAATCTGTGACTTTCGAAGAAATTTGGGTTCTGTCCATTTTCTTTCTGTGGCTTTATCAGTTCATCTTTGAAATGGAAATGTTTGAATTTTTGATCTTACAGGGAGCACCAGGAAAAGAAGGAAAGAAGAGTTATCCAAGAACTACAGGAAGCCTCATGAGATTGATAATGGGATGGTTCCATTGCCAGCCAAGGTCTGCTTTCAGTGCTACAAGTAAGCTCACTCCAAATCAATGATTTTTTAATGCTTTTGTTAGCTATGATCGAGACACCAATACACATGAATATTGTCAAGTAGTGGTGTGCATAGGGTACCTATTAAAGTAAACCACGCGTACCATAAAGGTACCTATTAAAGTAAACCACGCGTACCATAAAGGAAACCCTACCCCAAAATTCAAATCCCGGAAGTTGTCTAAAGAACTTTAAAGTGTTACGGTGTAAAACTGCAACTTCCATGAGCATCAACTTTCGCATTTTAAAATGCACATAAAAGTGAAATCTGTTTTGATTTTTCATGTAGCCTGGTTTTTAGTTTTGAAAATTCCCCACAAGACGACATCCAAAGCCTTGATTTTTCAGTGTCTGAGAAGTTACTAAGGAATTTGTAAAGTTTTAATCTTGAAGAGGTTCCTGACATCAGCGGTCCGAGTTCCGATGCAACCCCTAAAGTTGGAAGAATAATATATTTTTCACAGTGTGCGTATCCATTGTTTTCCTACAAGAAATCTCCTCTCTTTTTTGGGGGGGGGGGTATATGTGCATTGGTACACCCATTTTATCTGAAAATGTGATGAAACTAACTCCGATTAAATCCATACTTGATTGTTTTAATTTTAAAAAGAATTTTTTTTTTTTTAAACTGTAAATGAATTTGACCTTGGTTTATTCATCCAAACAGGACATTAGATTAACTTGTTTGATATTGAAGGTTAAATTTACTATACCACTTGTACAAGTCAACATTTCCTGATTTTAAGATCCCTCCATCTTTGTACTGACAGGAGCTGTCGAGTAAGCCCGTTGATCCAGTGTGACTACTGCCCTCTATTGTTCCACAAAGACTGCGTAGATCCTCCACTTACTGCCATGCCTACTGGAAGATGGATGTGCCCTAACCATCCTGAACACTCACTGGTGAGTAGTAACTGAGTCACATTACTCAATCAAATCAGGTTGTCAGGGAAGTGTCTTAACCATCCTGAACACTCACTGGTGAGTAGTTACTGAGTCACATTACTCAAATCAATCAGTCTGTCATGGATGTGTCCTAACCATCCTGAACACTCACTGGTGAGTAGTTACTGAGTCACATTACTCAAATCAATCAGTCTGTCATGGATGTGTCCTAACCATCCTGAACACTCACTGGTGAGTAGTTACTGAGTCACATTACTCAATCAAATCAGGTTGTCATGAAAGTGTCCTGACCATGTTGAACACTCACTGGTGAGTAGTCGCTGAGTCACATTACTCAATCAAATCAGGTTGTCATGGAAGTGTCCCGACCATCCTGAACACTCACTGGTGAGTAGTTACTGAGTCACATTACTCAATCAAATCAGGTTGTCATGTATGTGTCCTAACCATCCTGAACACTCACTGGTGAGTAGTTACTGAGTCACATTACTCAAATCGATCAGATTGTCAGGGAAGTGTCTTAACCATCCCGAACACTCACTGGTGAGTAGTTACTGAGTCACATTACTCAAATCAGGTTGTCAGGGAAGTGTCTTAACCATCCTGAACACTCACTGGTGAGTAGTTACTGAGTCACATTACTCAAATCGATCAGATTGTCAGGGAAGTGTCTTAACCATCCTGAACACTCACTGGTGAGTAGTTACTGAGTCACATTACTCAAATCATGTTTTCATGGATGTATTCTAAAGATCCTGAACACTCACTGGTGAGTAGTTACTGAGTCATATCACTCAATCAAATCAGGTTGTCATGGAAGTGCCCTGACCATCCTGAACACTGGCTGGTGAGTTGTTACTGTGTCACATTACTCAAATCACTCAAGCCATCATGGAATTATCTTAACCATCCTGAACACTCACTGGTGAGTAATTACTGACTCAAATTACTCAATCAAACGAGATGGTCATGGATGGGTCCTAACCATACTAAACACTCACTGGTGAGTTCTTGCCCAATCAAATTAAAGAAGGGTGCATAGGAAGGTACTTCTAACATGTTGAAGTTTCAGCTCAGTGGATACTTTTCATTTTGACAAAACAGTAATCGTGTTCACAATAATTTGGGTATTGTAAAGTGTGCTGCCTTAATTATGTTGAAAGTGTGTTGTTGGGTAGAATTTGATGCAAGATATTGTAAGATCGACTTTGGCACTCATTTGGAATGAGGTTGAATCGTCTTTATTCTTTACTCTGATACCCATAAATAAGTTGAAAATGCATAAAATCTCTTCATTTTCTGGAGATGGTTGAGTGAAAAATATAAAATGTAGCTAATTAAATATTCGTAAACTTTGTTTCTTACCCAGCCTGGATTTCAAGGTGTTCATTACACAGAACGGTGTCGAATCTTCAACGAATTCCACGGTCGTCTAGATCAGCATGCCGTCAAGCTTCGATTCATGCATAAAATCCGCAGCACAGGCCCACCCTCCAAACATGAAGAGAAAGTCGGCAAAAGACCGGCTCTCAGCGTACCCAATGCTATCAAGTGTCAATACGCCCTCCCACCTCCAATGTTGCCCCTCCCACAAGAGAAGCCAAGGCTAGTGTGTATGACACCGGAGGGGTTCAGATCCAGCAATACTGTGTGTTCACAAGAAGATCAGGAAGAGGTAATGTGGTAACTCATTAGCAAATGTGTTACATTGTATTACACTGTACTACAATGTGTTACATTGTATTACACTGTATTACATTGTGTTACATTGTAGTTATTCCCCGATGAATCATAGTCTACTTCACTCAACTTACCTGTAGAGCAATCTACTTATGTATATTCCCTATACCAACAGGTATTTTTTGCTAAGAGTTTTATACAATAGCGCCCTCTGGTGTCCTACGCATAATGCCTTATGGTAGTAAAATGACGAGGAAAACAGGAGCTATTTTACACACGTCCTACCCGACCTGCCGCTAAGAGAAAAAAGGACTCTCATGGGGTACGCATGCCGCAGGGTATTATGGGTAGGACACCAGAGGGCGCTATTGTATAAAACTTGTAGCAGAAAATACCTGTTGGTATAGGGTATATGCATAAGTAGATTGCTCTACAGGTAAGTATTTGTTTGTAGACCCCAACCACACTTCTGTGGGGGGATTGCATTGTAGTCTAGTTTACATGTTCAACTTCACATGTACTTCCTCTATTATTTGCACATATGCTCTGTACGTCTTGCATGTTCAATATTCATTAATGTACCTTTGTGATGCTTTTGTAGGGCTCAGTGTTTTTGTGTCAAACAAGAAGGCTGAAAGGAAGTGGTATCCCTTGCCTTCAGAGCAATAGCCTCCTAAGATGCCAAAGAAGTGTAGGAATTAGTCTTGGGAAGCCTTCATAAACTAAATGCCACTTTTCAGTATTTCTACTTGCCAAAAAGTAAGACAGGGCAGTGTTTTAATGTCTTTCAAAACATGAAATATTTTTTTTTTTTTTTTTACAGTGGTTGAAGAGCGTTATAGGCCTGCAGACAAGCATAACCAGGCACATGGTTAAGAAGCAACTACCCAAAGATCCGATCAAACAGAAAATCATCACCACGACCTCATTCACCAAAGCTCCGAACCAGACAGCGGCCGGCACGACCACCAGTTCAACACTAGTCCCTCAAGGGAAAGGCAGGACGCCCAGCCCAGCCAACGCTGATAAGAAACAAGAATCGATTGTTCAAACAAACCAAAGCAAAACAGACGCTAAAAACAAAGATGGTAAAATGACCAACGGGCCGGTTTCACTGCAGAACGGTCCGATGTCTGCCAATAAGACAACAGGAAGCAAGCAGGAAGGAACATTGAACACGATCGTTGTGAAAGAAGTCGGAGTAACGAACCATACCATTGTTAAATCCAAGGCAGGGGAGAGTTTGCCCCATGGACTGAAGGTTGTGACAATATCCAACAAGAATGATTCCGTCGTTAACACAGCAAGTGCCGTCAACGGATCATTGCTTGGCAAATCGCTGAACTCTGGAGGCAAACCAATCATTCACAAGATTGTCTCAACGTCATCAGCGAGTAAAGTTTTAACCACCGGTCCAAGCACTCCCAAAACCAGTAGTCATCAGTCGGTCCATCCCCATCTCAAAGTGGAAGGTTCCCAGTCGCAGGTTGCCAAGGCAACGAGTAGCCCGTCTGCTGCCAAGGTTACTATAGCAACCTCTAGTGGGATGTCACTTTCATCCGCCCAGGGCAAGATAGTCACTGTCTCCAATGGTGGTAAGTATTTACATTATTCTTGTTTAATCATTTGCGCCAACAAGAGAGGGCGTTCTTTTAGCACATTGGAGAGCTCCATGGACGGACACACTGTGTACAGCTCACTGGTTCGTGCGCGTATAGCGCAAAGTGCATTCTGAATGTGCACAAGCCATAGCAAGATCGCATGAGCATCAGGCGTTGCACACAATGCATTTGAATGTCACTCCAAGTGATCTCCCCCAACTCTCCTTTCCTTACCGTTGAGGGCGTACTTGTGCGCAGAGCCAATAAGACTGACCGACAGGCTGACTTGACTGTCACTTGTGACTTGGACTGGTTGCATACTGGTGAAGAGAGCCGGGCAGTGCTGTTGTTTAGGATTACCCAGTACCACTAATGAATGGACTTAATGTGTAGACTAGATGCATGAAAAGACTTCCAATAAATATCCTTTCTGAATCAATTGAATAGAATTTTGTGCACTCTACAACCAGCTTTACTAGGCTAGCTTGACATTGAAGGTTGTTTGCATAAAGGGGTGCACATATCAAAAAAATAACGAAACATTTTGTTCAGAGGTGATGACTTGTACACTATTTTGTCAGTTAACTTCCCTATGGACCGCTAAGCTTATGTGCGTAATATAAGTTCGTCGTCAATGAGAATTTGTCTGTGCCTGAGTTGTGGACTTGAATCAGTTACGCAAAACACATATGAGTCACATCTCAAATATCCATCGCTTTATTTCCTAAGTTGGTTTAATTGTTGACATTTGTTTATTGTAGGAGGAAGCAGTAAGAGTATTGTAGGCAGCAGCACTGCAGCTAAGATAACGACAGCATCCTTGAGCTCATCACCGGCTATCATCAATCTCAATAGCACATTACAGTCCTGTGTGGAAGGAAGTGGAGGTAACTACATGTAGCTCGTTATTAGCTGTCAGTTCTTCTTTAGACCTAGCTCTAATCCTGTCAGTTACTTTGTTTGTAAGCCATGCCCAAGCCAACAAAATGCAACAGTTGAGAAGCCTTCCCAGTGTTACAAGATCCGTTAGGTCACAAATCCTAAGACCAAACTGTCCTCAGAAGCCATAAGAAGTCGCTGAATGCAGCAGGATACAACTGTGGCATTGTTCAATGAGACCAGCTCCCATTGTTTCAGGATTGACACTTAATGTACTAGTCTTGATGGCCCAATGCAATAAGGTCCCACGGACTTGCACTGTGTGGCATCTGGCAAGGTTGAAAGATTAAGCTGGTATTCAGGATCTTCTAATATGATTCATGTAAATTCCTTTTTTGAAAATAGAAATCCATTACGATTTCTTGCTATTACGATTACCAATACATTGTAGAATTTCGGTGGGTAACATTTTGTCAAGTTTTAGGCCCAAAGTGATGTATGTTATTTGTCAATTAGTCCCCAAGACACCGTGGAGCACATCTCTGCATTATAAGAAACATTGGTCTGAATTGATGTCTTTGTTTGAAGGTAAATTTATCAATTTTTTTCACTCCAGATGTTGAGCTAAGTAAACTCGATGAGCGGCTTGTACAGATACTGGCATGGCAGAGATTACAACAACTGTTACCTCAAAAGGTACGTGATATCTCCAATCCAAAAATCATAGGTAATTCAGGTGATTTTGCAATGCAGTGCGCCACCTAGTGTTTGTCACGGAGAGTCCATTTTTCAAGTTGACGGTCGACAAAACATGGCCCTTTTGAATGAGTGTCAGTAGACAACTTGAGCTAAATTGTTTTAGATTAGGTCATAGCGTTCTGCCGCCTTACAAAAAAAACCATGTTGATCAAAAGTAAAGGGCAAATAGATACTCGAATCATACGTTTACAAAACTACTGACCGGAAAAAGAACAATTTCAAATGCCCCATGCTGCGAATTTGTCGACCATCTCCCACAATGCACTGGGAAAAACAAACTCTCCTTAGAAAACTCTTGGTGGCGCACTGCATTGTGAATTGCCCGAATTGAGGGTTCCCACAGCCATGGGAAAATTCTTGAATTTCAAGCAATCATGAAAAATATAATACCATCTTATCTGCAGGCTGTTCCCCCATCAGCCGTGGCCAAGAAGTTTGTGGTTCACAACAGCACGGCACCAACGAGTAGCAATACTGCAGGACCAAGCCAGTCGACTGCAGCATTCACCAATCACATCAAAGCCAGAGCCGTATTCTGTCCACTCACAGGCAGGGGACAAGCTTCACCTGTGCCGATGTGTTACAGGACGTTACATATAGGAACTGGTAAGTGCATGAGTCATGGCTTTTCTCTCAAATCTATCGAAATCCATCCAAATCTATCCAAATCCAACACCTTGTTTCTAATTGATTTTGATGGATCAGGACTGTTTACATGTACACGTGGAACAAAACATAAGCGTAATAACCGGGTTATTACGTCGGCAGGTTATCGCGTATCAAACCATAACAATGTTGAGTTCCTAGACTAATAGTGGCTTGACTCTAGCTTTCTCTGGGGCCGCTGGTGGCCTCTAATTTCCATGCCAATAATTTCTCATGGAATTTTCATTTTCCCCAATCTCACCGTTGATGACATCTTTGAAACAGTTAGAAATAATAAACTCTAGCTATCAATAGGCATTTAAATTTCATTTTAAAATTCTTGTTTGTGTTGTATATTTGTTACCTTTTTCAAAGAAGTTTCTATATTTTTTAATTCCTTTTCTTGACTTCTGTTTTTGTTTTGGGTTTTTTTCCGGCACAGGGAGTGATATGGATGTCTGTCTGAGTAATTTCGGCCATTGTAACTACGTCTCTCCAAAGCATGCTTGTATATTCTACGATGAGGTTTGTTTGAAACATTCATTTATCTCTATTTTGATCTTTTTTTTTAATCCTTTCAAACTTGAAGTTTAAGTTTTGGCCGACATTCTTTTTTTTAATCCCCTGAAGGCTGAGAGATCAAAGGTCAAGGTCACTATTGCTAAAACAATACAAATCTTGTCAATTGGATGACTTGAGAGATGCTTAGGAACTTGAAATTTGGTTTGTGGGTTGTTCTTGATTGTCTTAAGAAGCCTATTGCTTTTGGGGCCGACAGTTCAAAGGTCAAGGTCACTATTGCTAAAACAATAGAAATCTTCCATTTCGGTTAGGGACACTGACTTTATAAAAACTGCCAGCATGCCAGAGAGGTTGCGCAAGTCTCACTTGCAGTATTTTGTGTCCTTTCATAGACAACGTTAAGCATTCGCCTTCATTATTTTTTTCTTCTGACTTCTTTTTAGAATACAAGGCACTATGAGCTGATCAATTACAGTGAACATGGGACGACAGCAGACAATGTTCTTTACTCTTGCGATTTCTCTGATAAGAGGAGTTCCACACCGCCTCCGGCCTCCCCCTTCGTCAAATCGGTTCGCAGTTACATCAGGAAAGGGAAGCGGAAACGGGAATCATCCGACGGGAAGATCAAAGATGAAGAAGTCAAGGAGGAGGAGGAGAAGTCTAAGGATGAGGAGCCGGCGATGATGAGTGCGACTAGTAATCACTTCAAGAGACCATGCAGCTGTAAAGTCAGTAGCTCGACCCTGATTGGTGGTAGCGGGGCTGGCTGGGAAGGCACGGCAATCTTGCATCACGGTAGCTACGTCAAGATGGGTTGTCTACAATTTGTCTTCAGTTTGACCGATCATGCTTTGGTACAAAATCCCCTGGATAAGAAGCCATTATTGAATATCCAAAAAGAGTTTCCGTCTAACAGTTCCTCAAGTTAAAACATAAAACTAAACCACAGAACCCTTTTTTTTTCCCTTTAAAAAGTGAATAATTGGATAATTAGATTTAAACTAACCTCAATTTGTGCCCTCGTTTTGAATTTCACAAATCAACATGAATTCAATTTTTTTCAAATACAGTTGACTCTTGTTGATGCAAACTCAGTTTCGACTAAATTCTTGTCTGAATAAACACACATGTGCGCAATGCTCAATGCAGAGTTTGTATATGACATTTGGGCAGAGTCTGGCCATGTTTGTTTTAACAACAGTCGACTGTATTGCTACTAAAGATTGCATTAATAGCAGTTTTAATATTGTACCCTTTTTGAATCATTACTGTTTTGTTGGTGTAAATTGTCTATTTTTGTGAGTGGTTTCAGTAATTTTTGGGTTTGTTTTTTCCAATACTTAAAAATGTAAAGAATTTGCCCTGCAATATTTTTTTTGAAAGAACAGTTCAACACTGTAAGTTTGCATGGGAGATGTCACTCAATCCCCGAAAATCTTTTTTCAAACCAGAGTTGTAAAATTGTCAGTTAAATATCGGATTACAAATAAGTTCATAAAGTCGGGTCGCTAGTAGCAGGGTACGAGTAAAGACAAAGGAATGTTACAGTTAACTACAGTTATTTGAGTAACTTGTAATTTGACTTGAAACTGGATAAGATATTTTGTAATTGACTTGTTACTGTCTCAAAAGCATCTGTGGACGGTGAATCAGGCTGCATAGCTCCGGTGAGCAGCCTAATAGGTCTCTCTCAAATGACGTCTCTTCCTGCAGATTGCCATGTGCATTGGCATTTAAGGCGTAAAATTCTGTGACGCGCATCCACTGCTCCACATTTAGAAGAAAGTTCGAGCAACATGCGCGTGCTTAGAACATATCGCACCCTGCGCGCACATGCACCAGATGGCGTTGAATATGCAGTTGTTATTTTCGTTCGAAGATGGCTTCCTTTGAGAGAGATCTATACAGTGTCGGGTTAGCATTCAGAAAACAAAATCTGTCGGGAGACAAAACTCACTTTAACCCTAACTCCCTACTTAGTATTACTGAGTAGAAGACCATGTCCATCACAATCCATCACTTACTGCTTCACATAATGCTTCAGGACCAAATCCATTGAAATCCACCACTGGTGCTGTTGGATTTTGATGGACTTGGTACACATGGCTTATATGCCAACAATCCCCAAAAATGGATTTTAATGGAGTTGGTAAGGTTAGGGTTAACAACTTGCTTGCAAGGAGAAACTCTCTGGGCTCTTAAAGTGATTTGCACTCAAAATTTAATGTTTTTGTTTTTGCAGACCCAATAGCTAAAGGGTGAAAGTTGTATGGTGTTTGCATATACATGTATACACTCTTATCGATTATCTACTTAATCACGGCAGCTGTACTTTCACACACTTTGTTACCTCACATGGGCATTACTTCATGAATACATGTGAATGGGAATCTTTTGAGATGTCAGTGTTAAATTGAAATTTTAATATGCATATTTGAGTTAGAAGCCCATTTTTGGGAAGTGATTATTTGTTTCCAGTTGACAACCGAATGGTTGTTTCAAAACACTGTACAGAAATCCTGTAAATATATTTTTAAATATAACATTGTGACAGATATAGTAACCACTATTGCAGTCATTGGCTTAATATGTAGATAACATTTTTGTATGTAGATAACAGTTTTGTATATATGAACTATTGTATAGATTGCCTAGCCTGCATGTCATACTTGTAACACTAGATTATGCTTGGCTGTTGTAATATTCTTATATGTAACAGCACTGCTGTTGCTTCTGGTATCCAGGCACTTGTGCTTGGCCTGGTTTCAGTGTGATGTTAGCTTGGGCATTTCTCAGATACATCATTCTAACCGTTAGTTTGGAAGTTGTGGCCATTTAGACTAATTCGGCAAACACAATTGGAAGCTATTTTGATAGTTGAACCAGGCCCACGCTCGGGTAGAATGCACGCAAGGGCGAATCCAGGGGGGGCCAAAGGGGGCCATGCCCCCCCCCCCAAAAAAAAACGAAACCAATTGTGTTTTTTTTTATGTGACGTCGCAATAAAGGCAGGCATTGGTTAAAGTGGTCAGAAATTGCCTCAGATCGCACCATAGAGCATCGAGAATCCAAAAACAATTCGGGGCCCTTAAGCGGGCCCCGAACCCCACGCCGTAATTTTTTGACCCACGAGCTGTCAAAAAAATTGTGTTCTGGATCCCCCCTTGAATGCACGCACTCCCGGCTTCAGCGGCCAATGTGCCCCGACGAAATTCCAGGCCGTAGTGTCCCTTTAAATCTAGCGTGACATTTTTGCCATAACAAAGAATCTGCCATGCCTGAACGCCAGTTCCATGAGCATTTTGTGTAAAAAAAACTACTGAATTTATCATGAAATGATAGTGAAATACACGATAACAAAAGAACTTGCAAGTGCCATTTATGACAGAAAGCTAAGCCACCCTAGTATTCACAAGAAACCAACCGTCTGTTCGCACTATTTGTTGACTTTGAATAAGTTGGATTGCATGCATATAATTATGATGAAAATGGCACATTTTATGTTGTATAAGAATGCCCAGGCTGATAAAGATTTCGTGGTTGATGTGCAGGGAATTGATTTATTATACTGGATATTGTTGGATTTGAACATGACAAAAGTATTATGCATGGTGTCTTTAATAGTGTGTTCTTTATTTGGGTCCATATATGGTCATCTGTTTTCACTTGGGTTTACTGCACAAAATTCAATGATATATTTTGGCCCTGGTCCAAGCCCCGCCCAAGAAAAGGAACGAACTTTAATCTTACTATTCATCGGGCCCATAAATTATCTGAGAAACATTATGGCACTGACTGAACTGAGGCCGCAACAAAAAATAAATGGATACCTTTTTTTAAAATTATTTTTTATTTATTTAATTCCACACCTTTTTTTGTTCGGCCGGCCGGGACTGGTCCCGGACGCTACACAGTCGGCTTGCCCCTAAACAAGTCTTTATTTGAGACCAACCAGACCAATTCCATTGTATGCAAATCATTTTGCGGAAGGTTATTGTAGGGCATTTCAAATTGGAACTAACTGGTCCACGCCCAAATACATATGAAGTTTATGCGTAGCACTTCGCGGAAGGCCATTGATTTTCAGCATTAAGGCAGTTACCAATATAACTGGTTCGCGTCATCCAATGCTTTTGAAGCTGTAGCGTTGACCGGGGACCAGCGACCATGTGCGTTTTTTTCCACGCATTCGAAATTGGCGGGCACGGAGGGTGGAGATATTTCGTCACAGCAGTCAAAGTAAGTGACCATTTTTGGCCTAAAATCCTAACAATTTGGCCTTCAAACTTAGGTAGAAATGACCGCGCTATTCCGTAGGGCTTATATACTTGTAAATTAGGTGCAGGTGAAAATTCTGTTAAAAAATAAATGTTTTTAATTTTCATGCAGGCAAATGGGTAAGAAAGTCGGGAGTGAATTTTCCTAGCCAGGGGACTGACACATTAATTTTTCAGAAAAATTTTTCCATTTTTTTTAATGACGTTTTTGGGTAGTTTTAAATAGTATTTTTAGGGGTTGAAAAAAAATGCGAATTTGCAGACAACAACTGTCACATTACAAAAATGTATCCCCTGAAACAAGCCAAAGGTGGTTCTATTTTATGTAAATCGCCTCGCGCAAGGTTACTGGCTGTAATGGAGCACTTTCCAAAATAACTGGTTCGCGCCCAAGTATATTTGAAATCATAGCGTTGTTTGTGGGAATCGCCTTCGCGTACGGTTACGCAGTTTCAGTGATAAGGCACTTCATTTTCCAATTTTTTTCCATTTCCCAAAATGGCTGGTTCGCAGCGCCCAGCGCTTTTGAAATTATGGTCATACTCGGAACCAGGGATTTACCAGACGAATTCTCACATGCGTCGTTTACGCACTCATAAATTGGCGGGCACAGAGAAAACTGGAGAAAGTTTCACTTTAACCAGTCAAAGTAAGTTGGCACTTTCGGCCCCAAAACGGAACCATTTGGCCTTCAAAAGCAACGCAAAAGTGACTGCTCTAGTTGTAGGTACATGTAGCTCTGAAATTGATGCAATTGAAAACACTGTTCGTTCATAATTAGAAATTTGTTGACCTTTCTTCATTTTGTTTTGTTGGGTAGCACAAAAATGACGAGGCCTGAGGAGCTTATGATTATGTATTTATTATTTTATCGGGGGATGGGGGAATAATTTTAAGGCAAATGTGTTAGAAAGAATACCATATTTCTGGAGTTAATTTTTCTTGAAAAAAGGCTCCACAATACACAAATTATTTTCAGAAAAAAATTTTCATTGAAAGTGTTCACTTCTCTAAACAGCTGGCAGTGATACAGTACTATGCAGGGGCGGATCCCAGGAATTTTCGCAGGGTGGGGTTTTTATCGGCCAAAAAACTGAAATGTAGACACATTTTTCCCTCCAGACACTGCCTCCGTAAAATGAAAAAAAACGGGGGTGGGGGGGGGGGGGGGTGGGGGGGGGGGGGGGGGGGGGTGTGGGGGGGGGTGGGGGGGGTGGGGGGGGGGGGGTGGGGGGGGGGGGGGTGGGGGGGGGGGGGGGGGGGGTGCCCTTGTACCATACTTTCAATGGAGGCGCTATACAAATCCAACGATCACAGAATAATGTACATATACCGCCTAACTATCTGGCTAGGTACTTATTTTGTGCAAGGTGGACATAATTACTAGCAAAAAAAAAATTGGAGGGGGGGGGGGGGTGACGATAGCCACTTCAATTAAAAAAAATAAAAATTTAGTGAAGCCCCCAAAAATACAGGGGTCCTAAAATAGCTTGCTGTACATTCCATATTGGTTGTGCACAGTGCTGTGCATGGAGGAGATAATGTTTGGTTTTATTTGTCCTCTTTATTTGTGTTTCACTCCAATATTTCCATCAAAAATATCAGAACCTTGCCCTCTATCCATGACATTGCAACTTAAACAACTTAATTACAGACATTTACATGTGCAGGTTTACTTAAACTCTCACAAGTCTGCCATTAAAATCTTATAAGTTGCTCTCTTTTATTATTTTCAGATGGTTATCATGACAGAGCTAGATTCCAAGCCAGTGAACCACATCAAGCCAAACTCCAAACTGAAGGAATGCCAGAACCTGCCATCAAAGCCCTTGCCACTCGATCTTGGCTTTTCGCAATTTCTACAGTGCCCGTCGAACAATGTTTTTGCTCTATAATTAGGCCTATGTACCAGTTAAGTCTAGGGCCAGTTCTCTTGGGGCATGAATTTAAATAATTTCAACTGTAATAACATGTAGTTAAACTATTAAACATAACCTAAGGGGTCACTTGATTTGAAATACCTTAACAAATGGACTAAGACTTTGTGATGCTTAGACCTCAAGAATATGGATGCTTAGAACTACGTCTTCAAATTGATATGAAATAAACTAGAAAACATAAACAGCACAGTGAATGTAACCCATCCTCAGGTCAATGCTAATGAAAGTTTAATTAAACTTCAAATACTGTCGTGACTGTTATGACTGCAACTTTAAAGTACTTTACAATAAACTGAGTAATCTTATGCTTAGACCTTAAGAAAATAAATGCCTAGACCCAAATCATCAACTCGATTTAAGATAAATTAGAAAACATAAACAGCACAATGCAAAATGTAACCAAATCTAAAGTCAAACCTAACATTAAACCTTAAATTTTAAGCAACACATTTGGGAGGCGGGGTAAATCCAGTTTTGAATACAAATTCAAGTAGCATCCAAGTATAAACACAATCCACTGCACAAAAGTGAAGACCCTTGCAGCATTTTCTGAGGTCCTTCCCCTGCATGCACCCTTAACAGTTAACCACAGCACTATCCTCACCTATTTTAACCACTAACCAGCACAGACCAATCAAAATGCTGCAAAGGGGAGAAAATATTACAGTACATTCGTCTCGGCAACCCCAGTTAACTTGTGCAATTGTTTTTTATTTTCAAAGCTGGATGTACACAAAGCATTTTTCTTTGGGTATATTAAAACCTAACCTTAACTCCTTAGGGGATGTGCAAAATCGTATTAAAATTGGAGGATTCAGGACTGTTAACATTTCAAGTTAGCTTTACAGTTGTCTTAACTCTGCTAAATGAACAGAAATTAAAAGTTTTCAAATAGTGCAGCACAATTTAAACTTTCTAGCTATATGACAGGAACATTATTTTGAAATCTGCATGGACAAGCAAAACTGAAATTAAATCACACTTAGATGAGTATGATAAATAGGCTCTGTTATAAAAAAATATCAGCTAGTGAACCTAAAAGTTGCTGTATTATATTAAACACCACATTAAGCAAAAGCCTTTTTATCGGTGACAACCAATAAATTTGAGCATAATTTTAAGCTAATTTGAAGAAAAAAAATACGGAACTTATTTTTTAGTAATAACCACATGGTCTTAAAGTAGAGGGAAGTATAGGTTGGACCTGGACAAACTTGGAACAATGGTCAGTACAGAGCAGTAAATTTAAAAGATTTTGAAAGCCTTCATGGAGAAACTCTGAGAGTTGCTTCCATCGCACCTGGATAAACGTGAACTGGAAAGACAAACTATGAAATCATGTCATGAGGATGACACTGTCAGGACAAGGAACTATAAAAGATTTCATCCAGAGGACAGTGTGATGAATATGATGTAAGCCACAATGTGTGGAAGGAAGCAAATCTAGTGAGGGATTCATCACTTGAACAAGGAAGTTGCCGTTGAACTGTATGATTTGGATGAAAGATCAACATTAAAGGCAACGCTTCAGCAGCAGCTGGCTTTCAGAAAAAGGATGTATATGACTTTAATGACTGTTTTTATGAGTGGGAGTACTGCTGCATAACTTTACATCTTAACCTTGGAAGCACAATTGAAGGAAACGCCTACCATGATCTCCATGCCATTCTGGAAACGTGACACTTACAGGAGGAGCAGGAGAGTACTGACTTGAACTTTGGAGAACAATTGACTTTCTGATGTTGGATCAAAGGAATTTGATGACTTTCTGATGTTGGGACTAGCCTGTGGAATTCGCCATCTTTACTGCCAGAGGACACATGAGTCATTCTGGAAACCCAAAGGTAACTTTTTCTTTTTTATTTAGTTTGCTTGCAGCTTTAAAACATTTGGGTAAATTGTTTGAAAATTTCAGGGCTTTAGTAACAAAAACACTCTGTAATGTCACAAGAGGTCCACCCACACAAGTACACCACTCTTTAAAATGTGTACAAGGCTGATCAGCACATTTTGTGGGTCCTTGGTGTCCGCCCATAAAATTCCCCCTAAAAGAAAACTCTTTTCTCCCCTCCCCTCAGAAAAAAAGAAAAAAAGGGGAAAAGAAAAGAATTCTAAGAGATTCAAATCAGGCCAAAAAGAATAGTTCTGTTTCCTGTTTCCCTACCTACCCTATTCTGCGTACCCTACCTAACCTCATTTTTTTATGAGGAAAATGGGAAAAAAAAGTCCAAAACCATAAATTTCTACTTTTTACCCTTGACTACATGTACATGCAGACACCTCCATATGACATAGGCAGGGGGGGGGGTATTTTTTCTAAAGACTGCCCTTTTCCATTCAAATGCTCTTTTTCACCAGTGCTTAACCCCCCCCCCCAATAATTTGTAAAGAGAGCCTTTTTTTCTGAAGTGCCCTTTTTAAAAGAAGTGCTGCCATTTTTTGATGCATCAACCGTTCTGGGTGCCTTTTTAAAACAAATTTCACGCATATATCATCCTGAAAAAGCACCATACCTACCTACCCTATTCAAATTCCTACCTGCCCCATTCAAATGCCCATTTTTCACCAGCGCTTTTCAAACCCCCCCCCCCCAATAATTTTAAAGAGAAGTGTCGCCCTTTTTTGCACCATCAACCGTTTTGGGTGCCTTTTTTAACAGTTTATTGTCTGTTTTGAACAGCGCCCCCATTGACAGACGTACCAGCCCACCCCCCCATGAATATGACCGTGCTACGCCACTGTATGATGTACACAAAAAAATGGCAAAAAAAATAAAATTCCCTACCTACATTTGTACCTACTGTATTTTCAAATGCCTTGTAATCGTAATCAAAACTATTTTTGGGCCTTATGTTACTATTGATTTAATTTTGAAGTAAAGGAACTGCTGGAGGGACCCTAAAAGCGTTTCTTTGTTCATAAGGCGAAATAACAAAAAACATGTTTAGCGTCCTGCCATTTAAAAAAAAAAGAAGCGGGAGGCCCTTTGTTTTTCTTTTTCCTCCACAATGGCCACCCGGCCGGGCTGTTTTGCAAGTTTGCTTGCAGTTTTTTGTAAATGGCCACCATTGGACTCGGGAAGAGGCCAAAATGATGTCGCTGTTGAAAATTTATCATTTTTTTTCGGTTAAAAAAAAAAAGCCAAAATGAGGCAGCCTCCCAAAAGGAAGCGGTTGGGGATGCTAAACCTTTTAAAAATGCTCCCCCACCCACCAACCACAGGCGTTGCTAGTATGCTCCCCCCCCCCCCCCTGGAAAAGAAACAAGGGGAAAAGAACAAAGAATAGAAAAGATTCAAATAAGGCCGAAAATAAGTAGTTCTGTATCCTGTCTCCCTACCTACCCTATTCTGACAGTCCTTAACTTAATTTTTTTTATGAGGAAAATGAGACAAAGACACACCAAACCATCAATTTATACTTTTTACCATTGACTACACGCAGACATCTCCATATGACATGGGCGTAGCTGGGTGGGGGGGGGGGGGATTTTTTAAAGACTGCCCTTTTCCATTCAAATGCCCTTTTTTCACCAGCGCTTATCCCCCCCCCCCCCCCAATAACTTTGAAAGAGTGCTCTTTTTTTTAAGAAGTGCCCTTTTTTTTCAGAACAAGTGCCCTTTTTCGGCGCTGCCCTTTTTCGGCGCCATCAACCGTTCCGGGTGCCTTCATTTTTAATTTCATGCATATATCGCCCTCAAAAGCACTTTAAATTGTCTGTTAGTGTGCATAAGGCCTAAAAGAAATAATAGTTCTGCTTCCGGTTTTCACTGTTGAAAATTCATCATTTTTTTCAGTTGGAAAAAAAATAGAAAAAAAGGAGGCGGCCTCCAAAAATGAAGCGGGTGGGGACGCTAAACTTTTTGTCCTTTTGTGTTGTTGCCAATACATGTTTATGAACAGCACTTCAAAATGTCAAATCTTGGGCCTCCTCCTTTCAATTTTTTTTCAACTTTTGCAGTACTTTGACCCCCCCTTGAAACAAACCTGGCGACACCCACGCCTCACACTGAAAAACATACAACATCTCAAACCTTTTACTATCATTATCCTACCCCTAAAGGGGTTGGGAAAATGCACTCAAGTGGTTTGCTCTTAGTTATGTAGATAGATCCAGGTTTAAAAGATTGAACCCAATATGGATCCTACAATGCACAACTTTTGCTGAGCTTGATGCTTTTGCTGAGCAGTCAAACATTATTTTCCTAATCTTTCACTAATTTGAAATGCTTTTGCTTTGCTTAGGTCTGAAGATACTCCTGAGACGTTAACTGGCTGTGATGAGCATGACCAAGACGCCTGGATTGCAGAAGGCTTCTGATCTTAATACTTCACCAGAGGGTGCCCGATGGACCTGACATCTTGAATAGAGGCCGGGGGACAAGATTGCATGTTCATAAGGTGAGGTAACCATTGTATGCAGGCGTGAGCATGCACAAGACCCCCGGATGTTGCCGCCGTACAGTTTGCAAGTGGAGTCGCGATGGATTGTGTGGTAGGTTAGAACGAGGGGGACAAGGTTGCATGTAAACCCAGGTGAGGTAACCATTTCTCTGCAGCTCTTCTAGGCCACATGCCTCAAGACTTGTCCCCCTGGATTCTGGATGTTGTTCTGTGGATTGTGCAGAGTGGTATCCTGTTTTGACTGTTCTAACCAGGATAGGCCTATTCATCTTGCTGTGGGTGGCCTGAAGATGCATCAGTGTCTTGTCAGAGGTGAGCATTAAATTAATCAGCTTCAACAGAATTAGATAAAAATCAGCAGCAGTTTTCAGTCAATCTCAAAGTTTACGTTCTTGTCCAAACAGTTGGGTTTTATGTTAAACAAGTTCCTAGTCTTCCAAACATAACAAAATCCAAACGGTAGAAGTATCGTTTTTAACCTTGCAAATTAATTGTTCTTTAAAATCTTTCTCTCTGGAAACATTTGCTTGAGATCTGACACTTAATTTTTTACAACTGATCTTTTTTGTTCTTTTCTTCCTTTCCTGATATAGTTATGGGCAGAAAGAAGACTGATGAGAAACGCACCAGAGACAAGATATCTGCTGCAGTACCTGTCAACGAGGACTATCAGCATTTTAAGGTAACTGATTCTGCATTTGCGCTTTTAAAATCATTTGTACTTCACGTCCACAGACAGTGTCTTGAACATGTTCGGCTTCAACTTTCAACCAATAAATAAATGAAAATGACAAGGATTGTAACAACTCCACATTTTTCCAATTTCCAGGTTGTAGACTACTGGCACCATTCAATGCCACATCACCAGAGCGGGAGCAAACATCATGGCTCTACCACATCAGCCTTCCTGCGACAACGCTCGGCCTCGATCAGTCGGATCTACCAGGCACATATCAGCAAGAACTGTGATCCTCTCATATCACCCACCTTTTCTCAGCGGGGTCAGTATTAGTGTCCCAAATCACTTATAAAAGCCTGTAACTTGAAAAAGGGAATATAAAATATTGAAAAAATGTTTTACCTTGCAAATAATTCTTCTAATCCAGGACCCAATTTCATGGCACTGCTAAGCACACGATATAACGCTAGCAGAGGCTCCGCATAATTCATAGATATACCGTAAGCAGTGACCGTAGCTTATCTCATAGGAAACGATTGCTTTAACTGAGTGACAGAACAGTGGAAGTCTCCTTCTCGAGCAACCGTTTGCACATCCATGTCGTGAAATCGTGTTTAAGGTTTATATGAAATTGGGCCAAGGTTTAAGTTTTCTCTCTGAAATACTTGCTTGAAATCCGACACTTATTTTTTTTTTATTTGGCTTTTTTCTTCCTTTTCCTGATATAGTCACAACCAGAAGGCAGACTGATGAGTAAGACACAAGATATCTGCTGCAGTAACTGTGAGCAAGGACTATCGGCATTGTAAGGTAACTGATTTTGCACTTGTGCTTTTAAGAGCAATAAACAGTGTCTTTTGGACTTTATCAATTGAGAGACCAACGACACAGATTCCCAGGTCTTCTGCCAAGGGGGGGGGGGGGGGGGGGGGGGTGCTTCCCCTTGATGAGCAATTGTGCCCCCCCCCTCCCAAACGGCAAAAGCTATTCATATGTATTTTTGTATTGTTTATGGTAGTGGGTCCAGTTTGGACTATGCCCCCCCCCCCCCCCATGACAGGCCTGCCGATGCCCTATTTCTGACACATAAAATCTTAGGCAGACATCCAATTTAATGGTTGTAAAAGTTCACAAAGAAAACAATTTTTTACTATGAAAATATGATAAATTACATACCAAAGTATTATGAACAGAATGAACCTCCAGGCCAAAAAAAAATTCACTCCAATCCCACCCCCCCCCCTCACAAAAAAGTCCAAAACTGCTTTTATAGATTTAGTGGCATGTGCAAAACTCTTTGAATTCCTTATGGCTATTGATCAACTATATGAGCTTTGTCCGGTAACATTGTTCTGACAAAGCACTAGTGTTAATTATCTTTCATCTTCTTTTGCAGGTGGACCATACATCAAATATAATCATCAGACCTTGGCGGAGACAATACTCCTCATGAGTGGATCCAGAAGGCAGACTGATATGGGGCTTCAGAGGCTCGGCCAGTAGCCAGGAAGTTACATCTCAGACCAATGGGGAGACACACTTGAAGTTGTTGCAAATTTGGATCAAACTGGACAGCATCAGACACTACAGAAGGAACTAAGCATTTTTTGGGGGGCAGTAATTTGGACACACAACGCCTCCCCCCCCCCCCCCACCTGGATAACTTGAGCTTGGAGACTTCGCTGATGAGGATTCAGACCCACGGAGGAACTGGATTGGTGCACATTATTCAACTGGATGGCAAAACAAACCAAACTGAAAACTCGCATAATTTCTCGCAATTTCACTAGACAGTTAATGAGAACTTTACTGTATTAATTAATTGACTGTTGCAGACATTGATGTCTGATGTTCATCTTGCAAGAAAAAAGGGATGCAATGCTCAAACTGTGTAAACAAATCCAAGCACATGATCGCTGTAAACACACGGGACCCTTGGAAAAACAACTGTGCGTGCTCATTAGTGTTTTTTACTGAAGATCGATGGAACTGTTCATCATCAGAACTCTAATGAATGGTGGTGGGAACAATTTAAACAGCTGAGTTTTTTTATTTTTGTCTAGATTTTCAAATATGTGTTTGTGATCATGCCGGATATCAATGTTGGTGGTTTCTCTACAGGTTGTGGCTCAAATTTAGCATATGGGCTGCAAGACTATGGACTATGGGATCATCTATATCCCTATGTCCTTCAGACGGCATAGATGATGGGATCAGATTCCCAACACAGGACCAGCAGGACTATGGGATCTTCTATATCCCTACGTCCATCCGGGGCGGATCTTGGGTGGTAGTTGAAGGGGGTTATCCAATATCACCTCCCTGGGGAGCAAATACGTATTTAAGCAACATTCAATATTACTCCTGGGAGGAGAACAGCTAAAGTTGTAATGATCATCACAGACATTTTAGAGTGGTTATCAATAAAACAAAATAGGAATAGGTTAAGGAATTTGCCCCCAGCTCCATCGCTTCAAGGCTCTACAAATTTAATTTAATACAAGTAGCACACCGCCTTTAGGGCATAAACACGTACTTCCCATGGGGACTGTTTAAAAAAAAAAATTCTAGCAAACCTCAAATTTATAATTTAGTGGAATCACGCTTATATCCATCTAATAACTTAAGACTATGGGATCACCTATATCCCTATGTCGTTTTAGGGCTAAGGTGGAGTTCACTGGGTCTCTAACCGAGAAGTGCGGCAAAAACCCAGATGCGAAATGGACTGGGCGGCCGTCATGGTTACGGGCCCTTGTCTGGTGACACTAGGATGCTTGTCTGGAGCAAAACATTGAAAAGAAGGGATTAGATTCCCAACACAGGACCAGCAGGACTATGGGATCATCTATATCCCTACGTCCATCCGGGTTCACTGAGAAACATTGGAATCACCTCTATAAGTTGCCCCTGGATTAACTTTTGACAATATTCAAGACAAACTTGGAAATCGTAAAGACGGCATTGCTGGAACAAGGGAACTAAAAACATTTCATAAGAAAAAAGTGTGACGAACAGATGTTTACGGAAGGAGGCAAATCTTCATCATCATCCAGTGGAGGGACTCATCACTGAGATAAAGGACAAAGAACTTCTCATCAGCGTGTGTGATTTGGACTAAGGTTCACTAACAGAGGCAACTGTGCAGAAACTTTTGGAGAACGGACTTTATATACAAACTGTTGTTATGAGCGTTGCATCTCTCCACTGAGGACTCGGTGCAAACTGCTGCGTCACTTCACCATAATCTTGGAAGCACAGTTGGAGAACTTGCCTATGCCATTTCGGGGACCTTGACACTTGGAGGATGAGCTTTTTTAGAAAGACAGTGACTTTCTGATATTAGACAAGTGAAATTCTGATGACCTTCTGATGTTGGGATCAACAGCATTCACCATCTTCACTACCATTGGAGGCATGTCCCATTCTGGAAACTCTTGAGGTATTTTTTTTTGTTTTTGTATAGAATTTTGGGTTTATTCTGTGACAATTTCAAAGATTACTAAAGACCCCAAGTCCACTTGATGCCAATCTTTCTACTATGGCAGTCCCAAATATAACAAATATTTGAATATTTGATCATCAACTCAATAATCGAATATAGCCCTTAATGCCGGTTTGAATATTGGCAAGAAAAAAACAACTACACACTTCCCATACTGTGATGTTTTTTTAATTGTAAAGTTGCATTGCTTTATTGTTGTCATATGCCAATTTCTTGTCAACGGTGGTTCGTTGTTTTTTAAGAAGGTTATTTGCCCTCAGTGGTTGAAACATTCAGAGAAACACTGCATCGGTATGTAAAGGGGAGACTTGATGCTTTTTGCTGAGCAATTAAAAGGGTTTCCCTTCTTTCATTAACTTGAAATATTTTTGATTTTTATGTAGGTCAGCAGATACCCTTGAGGCGTTATCTGGCTGTGAGCATGACCAAGACGCTTGTGCAGAATTCTGGGATGGGCAGACCGAAGGACCAGACATCTTGGGTAGAGGCCGGGGGACACGTTTGTATGTTCATAAGGTAAGGTAACCATTGTATGCAGGCTTGAACATGCACAAGACCCCCGGATGTTGCCGTACAGTTTGCAAGTGGAGTCGCTTGGATTGTGTGGTAGATTAGAACGAGGGGGACAAGGTTGCATGTAAACCCAGGTGAGGTAACCATTTCTCTGCAGCTCTTCTAGGCCACATGCCTCAAGACTTGTCCCCCTGGATTCTGGATGTTGTTCTGTGGATTCTGGATGTTGTTCTGTGGATTGTGCAGAGTGGTATCCTGTTTTGACTGATGTAACCAGGATAGGCCTATTCATCTTACTGTGGGTGGACTGAAGCTGCATCAGTGTCTTGTCAGAGGTGAGCATCAAATGAAAGCAGCTTCAACAGAATAAGATAAAAATCAGCAGCAGTTTTCAGTCAATCTTAAAGTTTACGTTCTTGTCCAAACAGTTGGGTTTTATGTTAAAAAAGTTTCTAGTCTTCCAAACATAACAAGATCCAATCGGTAGAAAAATTGTTTTACCTTGCAAATAATTGTTCTTAAGCTTTCTCTCTGGAAACATTTGCTTGAGATCTGACACTTAATTTTTTACAACTGGTCTTTTTTGTTCTTTTCTTCCTTTCCTGATATAGTTATGGGCAGAAAGAAGACTGATGAGAAACGCACCAGTGACAAGATATCTGCTGCAGTAACTGTGAGCGAGGACTATCAGCATTTTAAGGTAACTGATTTTGCATTATCGCTTTTAAAATCAAATGTACTTCACGTCCACAGACAGTGTCTTTTGAAATTTATCCCCACATTACATGGCCTCTTCCTACCAAAATTGTATATGAAATTTTCGAAATGTTATGCCTAATCCCACAAAATCTTTTAAAACCACTTGTGACTCTGAAAAGATTTTGTAATATTCATTAGATCCAAAGAGCGACTTTGTGCACATTTCAGGTGACAGCAAATTATCTCCTTAAAAGCCTGCAACTTTAAAACAGGAATTACAATAATACATTATCCTTGCATCGGTTTTCAACCAACATTTATAAACAAAAATGGCAGGGAATTGTAACAATTTCCAAATCTCTCCAATTTTCAGGTTGTAGACTATACTGGCACCATGCAATGCCACGTCACTGGAGTTGGAGCAAACATCATGGCTCTACCACATCAGCCTTCCTGCGACAACGCTCAGCCTCATCAGTCAGATCTGCCAGGCACATATCAGCAAGAACTGTGATCCTCTCATGTCACCCACCTTGGCTCAAAGGGGTCAGTAGAAGTGATTTGGGAGACAGACCTTTCTTAATTGCTATATCATATCACTTTTTTGCCATATTTAGCTACAACTTTCAACCAAATGAATATGACATGATTGTGACATTTCCAAATTTGTCAAATTTCCAGGTTGTAGACTACTGGCACCATTCATTGCCACATCACTGGACCGGGAGCAACCATCATGGTTCCGCTACACCTTCCTGCGACAAAGCTCAGCCTCATCAGTCAGGACTAATGGGTCAGTATAAGTGAATTGAGAGACAGACATTTCTTAATTGCTACATCATGTTGCTTTTTGCCAACCAGTGCATAGTTTGCCATCCTTTCTGTTAAATGCTGCACAAGTGCCAATTTAATTATGTGAGCTACAAGCCATTTCAAATGAAAAACATGTTTGGCTGCAACTTAGCACAGGAGTGCACATTTGAGGGAGGTCGGTAACTTTTGCTGTACATTAAGTCACCATCACTAGCTGAAATTGGAGGGGAGATACCAACTGTCCTCTTGAGACCAACGACACATGATCCCCTACAAATGTGTTTCTGATTGATAAAATCTTAGCCAAACATAAATCATTTCTTTCATAATGTTATAGTTGTAAAAGTTTTCAAGGAAATATATTTTTTCATCACAAAATGATGAATTACATACAACTTATTTTGAAAAGAATTAATTTCCATGCCAAAATGCCCTTCTGCCCCCCCCCCAAGTTAAAATTGCTTTAGATTAAGGGGCATGTAAAAAATACTTTGCAGTCCTTAAATCCTATATGAGCCTTGTCCTGAAACATTCTGACAAACCACTTTTGTTTCTATCTTGTATCTTTTTCTGCAGATGGACCATACAGCAATTATGATCATCATCAGGATCAGCCATGCAGACTTCAGCAGAGACAATTAATGCTCCTCTCAGGTGGATCTGGAAGGCAGACTGATGGGGGCTTCAGAGGCTCGGCTAGTAGTCAGGAATTTACATCTCGTACCGATCGGAAGACGCACCTGAAGTTGTGCACGTTTGGATAAATCTGGACAGCATCACACTATAGATGGAAATGAGCGTTTGAGGGGGGAGGGCGATAATTGGCCAGACGGCACCCCTCCTTCATCTCGACCACTGCAGCTTGAAGATTTAACTTTTAGGTTTTGGAGCCACGAAGGAACTGGATTGGTGCACATTATTCAATTGATCGCGAAATGAACAAAATTTTAAACCCGCGTAATTTCTCGCAATGTGACTTGACAGTTAATTAGAACTGCTTCAAGTTTGCCCATACTTCTGAACTATTGCTGATTTGGATGTCTGTGTTCGTCTTGCAAGAAGAAAGGGATTTAGTTCTCAAACTGTGTCGATGACGCGTGATCACTGGACCCTATGGAGAAACCATTGTGCGTGCTTTTAACATTTATGAATGGAAGACCGATGGAACTGTTCATCTTCGGAACTTTCCTGAGTGGTGGTGGGAAATATTGAGACAGCTGAGTTTTGAAATATTTGATAGTTGAATTGTTATTTGTTACCTCAAAGGTATTTTTCAAAGTCATGTGTTGACATGTGACTGTTGTGCATTTAGAGAAATCATTGTGCATGTTTTCAACCTTTTGTTGAACTGAGACTGACGGAAATTTCATCATCAGAATTTTCATAAGTGGTGGTGGGAAATATTGAAACAGCTGAGTTTTTAAATGTTTGATATTGTAATTATTTTGAAGCTGTGATTTATTTGGTCAAAATTTTGATGCTTAATAATTGCTATTAAGGCGTCCCTCTTTTTATTCAATGGTTCTCATTTCTGATGATGTGAATCAGTAGCGTATCCAGCTTTTGATGTCAGGGGGGCAATTGCACATCAGCGCAGAAATGTTCACTTTTTTCTCAGGATACTTGGCCTCCGTAAAATAAAAAAAAAAAAAGGGGGGGGGGCCTGTAGGCCTACCCATCTCTCATTTTATGCCCATTTTCACGTTGCATTGTAATGGTTTTTGAGAGGGTTTTCTGTTTTGGAATTGATATCAGAACTCCTGCCCCCCCCCCCCCAGGATACGCAACTGATGTGAATTCACCTTAAATGAATAAAACAATTGCATAAAAATATAAGACGAGGCATACTTTGCATCAATGAATTAATAGGTCGAATTGTATTTTTCTTCAGATTTTAATTTTCTGCAAAGTGACACTGCCTACTTCAGAGGCAAAAAAGAAGAATAATGAGAACCATAGAAACAAAAAGGGATGCCCTCATATTTTCTGAATGTTATATGTTGCAATTGCTTATTATGCGAAGAAAAATAATCCCTTTCGACGTTCGCATTGCATCTTTGGGTATGGATGGCAAACCAAGCAATTTGTACACAAGTACGAACCACCATAAAGCCGATCTTTAAGAGAAGGAATCACGCCAGAACTGTCCAATGACACGCCAGAACTGTCCAATGACATCCTGGCCACTCTTGGTTTGCACTGATTTACATTTTCCGTCAAACAATATTATGTTTTAGACTTAAGTACCAGAGAAATCTAGGGCCAACTTAATTTCTAGGGGCCTGCATTGAAATACTTTCAACAGTAATAACATAAAGTTCAAGTGAAATTTTAAATATGAGTAATGTGATTTAAAATACATTAACAAAACAGAATAAATGATTTTTAGTCTCCTATAGATGTCTAGAGAATTAAGTCTTAACAGTGATTTCAAATAAACAAGAAGACTTAATTAGCACAGTAAACCTAACCCAATTAATGCAAATAAAAGTAAAATAAACCTCAAACATTCATAATGCTTAAACCTGAAGGATTTAAATGTTTAGACTCAAGTCTTCAAATTGAGTTATTAATACTAGAAACCATAAGTAGCACAGTAAACCTAACCCAAACCTGAGATCAATGTTAATAAAAGCAAAAATTTAACAATTTTTAAACGGTATTGAGGATATTTAAACCTCAGGAATATAGATTTCTAAAACTGTCTTCAAATTCATTTGAAATAAAAAAGAAAACAGTTACAACAGAATAAAACTTAAACATAAGGTCAGTGCTTGTGACATATAACTCAAAGGAATATGTAAAGAGCTCAAGAAATAGATGTCTATAAAACTACATGTAATTCTTTAACCGATTTACAATTAAGTAGAAAACATAGGAAGCACAGTGAATATAAACAAACGTAAGGTCAAAGCTAATTAAAGTACAACTCAACTTTCAATATTAGGCAACTGCCTTGGCAGGATAAATCCAGTTTTGAACGCAAATGCAATATAGCATGAAAGCACATGCCAAAGTCTTTTTGTATCAACTGCACAAAAGTTAAAGACCCTTGCAGTATTTTGAGGTCATTACCCTGCATGGCAACCATTAACTATCTTAACCACTAACCAGCAAAGACCTATCAAAATGCTGCAAGGACTGGGAAAACTTGCTTCTTGGGAACGTGTATGATAATTATGTTGCCTAATTTCAAAGGTGGATTGCCACAAATATATTGTTTCATAGTGTAATATTTACCCGATAATGGAAAGCAAAGCAAATTCAAATCAAAGAGCACAAAAAGGAGAAACAAATGGGTTATTCCCATGCATGGCAACCATTAACTCTCTTAACCACTAACAGCAAAGCCTTATCAAAAAGCTGCAAGGCGCTTGAAAAATTACATGGGAACTTGTATGATATATTGCCTGTTTTTCAAAGCTGGATTGCCACAAAAACAATGGAAAGCAAAATATTAAAGTCAAAAGGGCTCAAAAAGGAGAGGAAATAAAAAGTTTTAAAATGTACTTTTGGAGCTAAGATTACAAAAACTAAATATTTAATAAAAAAAAGAATCATAAATTAGTATTTTTAATCATACGTTCTACTGAAGGGAAAAGTGATCTGAAAATCTTCATGTTTAATAGTAATTGTAAAACTGAAATCAACTTAAAACGTGGATGCAAATGATTAGTCTGATAAAAAGATAAGCCAGATACAAGGGCTCCTTAATCTTAAATGGCACGTTAAGGGAAATATTGTTTTAAAAATATACAGAAAAGAAAAAAGTGGAGAGCAAACTTATTTTAAGCAATAACATGTCATCCATAGCCAGAATGCAATGCGTATTAATGTCAAATAGGTTTAATACTGATATTTGTGTATCTCAAGTTGTAATGGTTGTGAATAGTTTTCGAATAATTGCATACTGGGATTTCTGAAAATTGGCAAGAAGGTATTGAAATTAAGATTTCGCCAAATGTGTGGCTTTTTTTTTTACTCGAAATACTCGAAACTTGCCGATAAAGGTTTACATATGCCAGCTCTAGTAATTATAATTCCTAATTAAGTAAAAACCTTAAGGGGCAATTCTGTGAATTCAGACGTGCATGTCAGACATTCTAGCTGCTGTTGGGAAAATTGAATGGGATACATCACTAATAATGTGATGTCCCATTAGCTAATGAGTAGAAAACAATAACAGAAAAGGTACAACCAACTTAACAACTTAACATGTGCATCATGTGGAATGTATGTTGGATTTTACGGAGTTGTCCTAAGGTTGACTCTATGAAAGTTGGAAGTAAAACTGCTGATTTCTTGAGAAATATAATTTTGCCCAATTTGAAGCCCTGGTCATTTTCATTTTTGAGAAAGTATGTTTTTTTACAACTTTTTATGAAAGCATTTGGGTAAACACTTACCAATTTGAATTCAATTGAACAATTTAATTAATATTGCAAAAATTTTAATAAAAACTTAGGTTAGGGCCTTAAAATTTGAAACCCAATTTCGTGCAATTAATTTGATGACAAAAATGTGAGGGAAATTACTTTAATTTAAAAAAAGCGACATGTGCATTTGAAAAAGGTCACGTAAATATTCCATCTGTCACCGAAGGAAATGATTCTTTCCATTGCACAAATGTGAAACATTTGTTTTATTACATAACACCTGCATTGTAAATAGATCAATGTCATCTGATTGGGTTGACTCGTTAGCTGGTACTTATATCAATGTTCTATGCTATATTATGGCAATAACTGGTGGTTCACTTTCAATACCCAAAAATTGTTAGACAAGTTCAGAACTAGCCTATCATTTATCATATTCATCCAAGTTCATCCATTTGTGTCGGTTAACTGTACTCGACAATTTTAAAACTATCATGCTCAAATTCGTCTAATCTTTTGGCAGCACATTTTCTTCTTTGTGTTTGCAATGTCAGCATCACCCACAAGTTCCAATATTTCATCTTCAGTTAGGAAAACAAACGGAGATTCTCATGTAACGCCTGCCAATTTGCCCGCACTTTTTGTGAAACAGATTTTTGTCAAAGTGCCACCACCGACAGTCGTGGGAAGTTCTGTTCACCGTTGAATATAACTTCACTTTTGCGGTGCAGCCGCGCCAAGCGTTGGGACAAATAATTCATTGACATGTGATCAACGGTCCACCAATCAGATGACAGAGATTATTCAGGTGTTGTTTAAAACTACATATGTTGAGAACGTAATAACAAAAGGTAGTACTTTGTTTCTGTTTTGAAACTTTACTCTGAATGGTAATTCTTTTTTGAAAATATTAAATATACAGTGTGTAGGCCTATTGCCATCAGTTTGTAAATATTTTTACATGCTAAACGTTTTTAGCATGAGGTGATTTTTTTTAATTTTTTTTTATACACACTGCATACCCTTCTTAAATGTCATTATAATCAATTATTCTTGCATGGTTTATGTAATAAAAATATTGCTATGGTAATTTTCATATGGACCTCTGGTTTAGATCAAGATGTGTTTAACTATATATTTTTTGATTCATTGAATACCTGAATATGAAATGGGCCAAAGTTTATGAGACAAGTCTTGAGAAAATTGATATAAAATGAACTTATATTCATAAATATCTAAGACGGTTTACCCATTCCAATTGGTCGAGAGCCCATCACGTGGTTGGTTGTTAATAGTTGATAAAACACTAACGTTTTTTCGGCACTACTGTGTTCTGCGTCACATTGCGCAGCACCTCCACCTTTGCCAAACTGCAAATAAACAAATGGGCGCTTGCTTTAATGTCTCATACGTCACAAAATTTTAGCCCTCAAAGGCATTCATGAACTTCAATGTTTCTTTTATTCTACTGTTAGACATGAACAAGCTGAAAAGCCACAAGATTTTGTTGATTACATGTTTAAAGAAAAATGCGTGTTGCGTATGGAACAAAAAGGGAATCTTTTCTTGGACTTAAGTATTAAAGGGAATAAATGTGCGCTTAGCCGGTATTTAACCTTTGCGTGTATACACGTCATCGGACGTGTACTGGTTAACTCAATTTGGCCAAAAATACGGACCTGGGCCCAAATTATCATATTCAGGTATTCAATTGTTTGTTTACAATTAAAAAATGCATGTTTTTAGTGGTTAGTTGTAGGCCCTGTCACATATTGAGCATATTGGTCTTTTCTCCATTTCCATTATACAATAATTTACAAGCCCTTACCATTTTAATTTTGTGACGTAAAATTTTACCTAAACATTTAAGGGTTAAAGGGAATATATAACACTTGCTTTCGCTGTAATTTTCAGAAATGGATGGATTTGGGGGTTAGTAATTTTATAGCAAACATTCTTGCACTGACTTGTTTGAAGTTTTGTGTTGTAGATGCTGGAAAAACAAAGAAATTGATATTGTAGTTTTGGGTTTTTTTTATGTTTGCAAATGTTGTATTCCCTTTAACCACTTGTCGTTTTAAATTTGAAGAAAAATATTATTTGACTCGAAAATGATAAAATCAGCCATTACAATTTTGTCTACATTTTAATTTATTTCCTTTTTCATTGCATTCTGAAAGGTATGGAAATAAACATTGATTTATTGATTCAAATTTTGAGAAAAAGCATAATTTTTGTCTTGGTTTTTTTTTGTTAACTCTTAAGGTTAACCCCTATTTGTTAGAGTATTTCAGGGGAAAACAAAAATTCTATTTGCCATACTTTTTATCATAAAATTTTGTTCTTATTTTAATTATGCAAAATTTTGAATCCTTCCCATTTAAAGCATTTTGACTTTTTCGATGTCCCCTAACTAGTTCCTTACAGTTTCAAATTTTACATACATTTGGATGCATTGTTAAAGAGATTGTAAGTTGTACCCCTTGAGATTGTTTTCATGGAACATTAACATATTCCAATGTAGCTTTATTGAAATTTATCAAACAAAAGTGT